AACGCCTTTGATAAGATAACCTGTTCCCTTGAGTAAGATAACACATTGTACTCACGAGGTTAGTGTTATCGTGCTTTAAGTATAGTGTGGCCAGGAAAGTAAAGTTAAGACTATTCTATAATCTAAGAGAATTTTACATATTTTAGTTAATTCCAATGTGATCACAACTTCGCGTACCTTCGTCAGAAAATTTTGAAATGCTTAGAATGGATCAGACTTAATTATTATTGCATTTTTAATATGACCAGGGTATTTTACTATATGTTATGAGGTAAAGATGATAAGTTTATATCTGTAGTTTAATACTTGTAGAAAAACAGCTGTACTGTAGATTGTTATGCATTTATTTTCACTTTCTTTACTAAACGAGTGTGATTTGTTTAGTTACCCATAATTTGTTTGTTTTCTCTGTATTCGTCTGGGTTTTTTTATTGTTGGTGAATCTTGGTTAACGTCATCACACTGCCTCATCTTACGTTGTTATGGGCAACAGTTTGGTTGACGGAAGGACGGAATACAAAATGAGATGCAAATACTGTGTTCCTCGACTCTGGTAGAAAAGGCGGAAGACAGAAATAGAGTAGGAATCACGGAAGGGGTTTATAGAGCAACGTGACGTCAGTGTGTGGGTGGAAGAGCGTGACGTCACAGCGTTTGTCTAAGAGCCAGGATCAAGTATCCGGCTCTCGTGCACCACTGTGATTGCTTGTTTACTCGTGTGTTAGCCATCTCGTCGCATATTTATGGCCCTTGAGTTACCTTTACCGATAAGAGATGTGGAGTCAATCTTGAGTGTAGTTGTGCACCAGAGAACTCTCGGCTTTGCAGGTTGTTGTAGTAACTTTACATATTACTGTAGATTACATATTATTGTATTGGCTGACAAGTAGTTTTTAAGTATTTGTATTAAATCAACTCAACGTTGAACCTGTTTTGTTTTGTTTTTACCTGAAGCATACCAGGCAGACACAGGCTAGTAAGTTGGGGTATTATAAAGACAACTACATGCTGTCGACAACCAGAATAGGAAAGGTGAAACGATATATCCAGAAGGTGGTTGGGGGTATCGTGACCTTGTTTCAGGGGTCATGACCTGTTGACTGGGGGCAAGTGGAAACTACCTGTAATGAGATACCTGGACAGCTGTGTAGAGGCGGGCTTGGATGTAATGCGACCACCAGCCCTTACATCAGTTCATGTATAGATGCTATCGGCTGCAGGTGGTTGTGGTCGTAAAAGCATTTCTAATTCTGAGCACCGCCCACCCTTCCACCTACCACACCCCCCTTTTCCACACTCACCCCCCTCCCTATTCCACACCCACCACACATCCCCCCACTCTTCCACATCCATCCATCCATCAACCCACTGCTCCATCCATCACATCCTCATCCATCACATTCATTCTGGACTGCTGGGATATATTACTCATTCATGTGTCAATATCCCGTCAACCTCCCTCCCACTCCCCGACCCCTGCCTCGTCACCCCCTGACCCTGCCTCGTCACCCCCCTCGACCCCTCCTCTCCACCCCTGCCTCGTCACCCCCCCTCCCACCCCTGCCTCGACCCCTGCCCGTCACTCCTCAACCCCCCTCGTCACCTCCCCACCCCCTGCCTCACCCCCCCTCACCCCGACCCCTGCCTGTCATCACCCCCTCCTGTCACCCTGACCCCTGCCTGTCACCCCCTCGACCCCTGCATTCCCCTTGACCCCCTGCCTGTCACCCCCCTTGACCCCTGCCTTGTCAACCTTCATCTTCCTGTCGTGCTTTTTACTACTCATTCAAGAACTGTCCTGACTAAGGCCCACTCATGCTCACCTCTCACACCTGTTCCTGACCTTCATGCACCATTCACACCTGTTTCCTCTCCACTCCCACCTCTCACACCTGTTCCTGCACTGTTCCTTACCTCCACCTGTTCACCTCCATGCACCATTCACACCTGTTTCCTCTCCATCCCTTACCTCTCACACCTGTTCCTGACCTTCATGCACCATTCACACCTGTTTCCTCCCCATCCCTCACCTCTCACACCTGTTCCTTACCTTCATGCACCATTCACACCTGTTTCCTCTCCCCTCCACTTCACCTCTCATAGAATAAGTGTTTTAGTTTTTAATGTTGGAGTATATTGTTTAATAGCTACGTAGTTCCTGCGGGGGTGAAGCGGTCCCAAGGTGTGATCTATGTCTGGTGGGTGGTGCGTGCCTCCTGTGTGTCGCCGCAGGTGAAAACGCCATTTCTAGCAAAGTTAATCTTTATGGTGTGTTGTGACGTCTTGTATTCGGTGACGCAGCGACTAGTTGTGTGGGTCAGATACGCTATTTCTGTATTTAATTACTTGTTTACCTCTGTAAGAATCATGAGTGTAAACGTAGTGTAACTATCATAACATTATCTATATATTCTTAGAACCAAGTATTGATGATCTTGGTGTTACCCAGACACAAAAATAACACCACTTTACTTATTTTTAAGAATTTTTTGGGGGGGACGTAATCTGTTGTTCCCTAAGTTTGGGGCCAATAAAGTAGTCGAGGTATTAAGTATAAGGTTGGTTCAGCACCACACCTAAGACTCCTTAACTGGACCCCACGAGAAGAGAAATACCCGGAGAGCCAAGTGTTCGTCGGGGACCTGAAGGAGATGCTCACTCGGTCATGGGAGGTTCAACACCGACCATCCTTCAATTAATTTATAAACCCTCATGATTATGATTAATTAAAAACAATATATCACGTTTAGTCACCTTTTAAATCAAGTCTCGAGTCGCGTCAGGTGTTGAGTCACCACTTGAGTCACGTGTTGAGTCACCACTTGAGTCACCTCTTCAGTCACCACTTGAGCTTGTCTTACACTAGTAGTAGATGTTGAGTGCAGTGATTTAGAGTGGATGTGGGTCATCAATATTCCCCTGATAACACCAAATAAGCTTGTTGGTCACAGTGACATCAGCCAGTAGACGTTAATAAGGTTTATGTAGTTAGTCATCTCCGTTAACAATGAAGCTGTGTTCAGTCGGCAGTATCTATTGGTTGAACATGAGGAATAACTGTGTTTATTTTATATTTATCTATTTAAGGGAGTTTGGTCAGGCCAGTGTTAGCCTTTACTGACCTGGTTGATATTACGTTTCCCCGAGTGAGCGATTTGATTTATTTTTTCAAGAGCAGTTTAACTCGCTAATGACCAGTTCTCTGTCACCCTTGTCGGTGTTTATTTGGGGAGAAGGTATCTGTTAGTTGTTTGAGAGACGTGTATGAATAATCTCACATGTGTTAATCAGTGTTCATTAGTGTAAACACAGTTTACATTTCGCGGTGAGAATGTTGATGACGTTAGTGTGTGAGCTTAGTTGAGTGGCGGCCATTGTTGGTGTCGGCCCGCGGGACCTCCCTCGCCACAGGTCAACAATCACCACTTTTGTTGGTGGCTCTTAGCCTCCCCCACTCACCACACTATTTATAGACGCCTCTTAATTCTTTTTATAGAGTCCGAAGCACTGATCAGGTAACTTAAGACGAAACCGCAAGCACTTGGAGAATTTATGTGGTGTGTGGTCGATGCTGTTTTGTTTTCAGACGCTTCTTACGCGGTGTCAAGTGTTGGGGGCGTGAAGTCACGTATTCAGAGTTGTTTATGGTTCGCTTATCGACGTATTAAACTTATTTAAACTATTCACTGCAGGAACAAAATCGTGCTAGACTTGTGGTGAATATACCATAGATACTCCTCGCTTGTACACGCCTCTAGTACTCCCTGACTATTCACAGACAGTTAAAAGTTCTTACGGGTCATGGATACCTTGGAAAGTCGTGGAATAAAAAGGAATTTGCTTTTAATTCACGTATTTTTTCCATCGTCGAATAGTAATTTCCTATGTTATATAATTCCTTAAATTGTTTCGTACTTCAAGGACGAAAATAACTGTTATTTTTATAAGTCAGACAACACACAGGTGAGACTTTATAAGGACGAACCGACCTGGGACAGACACTACTACCTCACGTCCAGTTTTTATCCGCGAGTTATCATCATCAACCTTACCACACCTGTCTACAGTCTGATCCGGAGCTTGTCTTATAGTTCTTGATGGATCGATTTTGAAGTGTGTGTGTGTGTGTGTGTGTGTGTGTGTGTGTCACAGTCCAGGGTTAAGGTCACTGTTACTAAAAGTAGAATATTGTTATAAGAGAAGTTGACTCAATTCTTATAAAAAATGGATATATAGATTTGCAAGAGAGGTTGAGCATCACTGAGACATGTACAGTACAGGTGCTGTTTGTAAGGTCACAGATCAAAGGTTAACGTTGCTGCTTTGTGCGACTATTGTTATAAACATTTCTGCCATGACTTGTTGCAGACGGAAGGGTTACCACAAAAGTGTAGTGTAACAAACACCTACAAACAGTGTTGCCATGACACAAGATAACTGCGTCATAAGACGCGCAACACACTCATGGACACTGTTGACTCGTTGTAGACACAGGAAGTGTATCACAAGACTAATAAATCATCAGACACGTCTACACAATAGGAGTGTGGTGGTAGTGGTGGTGGCGAGGAGCAGCCATACAGCCAGTATTTATAGCTTTTGCTCCACTCCGCATACCCCTCTCACCCGTTTACCTGGAGACTCAGAAATGCGCCGCATGTATACGTAACGGTGCGCCGTATAGGTAGATGCATTGATGATACACTTGGGAACAAGTATCCGGCACATGGAGACAGTGTGAGGAAGTGGTGCAGCACACACCGCTGACTGGCCTCCTCCTCCAGCCGACCTGTTATGACACTGTAAACATCAGCTAGTGTTGTTGGTGAACTGACGTGTACCAAGCTACTCCTTCTGTATAGTGCCCGTCAGTACCTACCGCCCACCTTATGCCTTATAAACACGTGTATACTAGTTTCTTACGAATATTTTGGTGTAATATTTTAAGTTCATTCTTCTATTTAATGATGATGACTATTAACATTTTTTTTCTTTCACAGGCGGCAACAAAACGAGTTGAAGGGCGGGAATATGAATGCTGGTGAGTACTAACCTCCTACCCTAGTTAGTTCACAGTTGACCTAATAAGGGATCGTAATTCCAGGGGTTCATGGTGGCAGAAAACTGTTTCGGAACTGCGTGTGTACAGGAGACGTTAATAGTGTCTCCATGAAACAGAAAATATATTGACGTCTCTTGAACACACATACTGTTCCAACAATATCGCGCCTCCCTTGAACACCTTAACTGACCCTTAAGTTTAAAGTTCTACTCGCATCGTTCAGTAATACAAATATTTATTTTATTTTTTATCGCCTTTACCTTTAATATAATCCGCGGACCTATATATTTTTAGCCATCTTGTACAGAATGAATTGTTGGCAACCAGTTAGCCTTATCTCATAAAAGTGAAAATACAGTACACGGGATAGTCTCGGTAGTGGTAGGGGCAGTAGACGACGGATTTCACTGTAAACATCGACGTGTCGGAGATGTGTGTCCCTTACGACACTCCCCGCGACTCAGGGTCCCCATACGTCAAGTCTCACAAGCCTTCACTTAGGTCCAGGAAGGAGAGGTGTGTCCGTATTGTTGACCAAGTCTTCCAGTGTCACCCAAGCAAATGTCTCTTAGCCGTGTCAGAGGACCACCCGTAGACATAACAGTCACAGTTATCAGTCAGTGAGATAACAGGGTGTCGTCAGGGGGACACATCCAACAGTCTACACACATTCCAGGTGCTGTTTCTCGTGGTTATATCAGCGATGTTAAATGTGACGACTAGCTTTTAGTTCTTTATTCTTGTCTTATGCGACAAATTGTGTCGATGTTTTGCTACTTTTAATTTGGGTTTTTTAAATTAATGGACTGTGGCTGCACTAATGAACAGTATTATAGGGAGTATATAGTTAACCGATAGGACCCAGTCAGAGGTTAGATGTTGTTCTGGGCACTACTTATGGTGCAAGTCGAGTGCCAACCAACAGCCAAGGCAACCCAGTCTGTAGTTAATCACAGTGTTAAGAGCCAGTCTCCTGTCAGTGTATCAGACGGCAATAGATCAACCCGCTATAATCCGATCTACACTAACTAAACTGTTGGTGTAGTGGCAGCCATCAGAAGCAGTTACCCTTGAGGAACAGTTACTGTGACGGGGTGTGGTCAGCCTCTGGTACTTGTCGTGGTCAACTTAACATACTTACCTTGTAACATTAGTAGTTGTTGTCTTGTCTTGGAAACATGTAGTGTATGGACAAAAACAATGTTGTCATAGAGGAAAATAAGAAATAATGGAATTGGTTGAGACTTTGTTTAGGTGGCGTTAGAATTGCTACTAACTTAAGAGCGGCAGGTCCTACTTGATGAGAGAGACGTGAGAAGATAAAAAGTTTCAATGTTTCGCTGTGGAGGGAAAGAAGCCGCTTCACAACGACCACAATGAAGCCAACTGCGCGAAAGGAAGTAACGAGCCTGAAAACTTAAGGCTGCCTCGCACAACCCAACCTGCAACGTGAGGGCAACCAACCCAGCCTCACACAAGTACCCCATCAGGAGATGTTGCTAAGAAAAACGAAAGAGATAACTCTCTCTTCTGAAATCTTAAAATGTATTGTTCAGTGTAGAAAATGCCTTTTGGTGAATGGTCCTTAAAGATCCTGGCTGTTGAAGTACCCGAATAGTTAAAACAACAATAATTTGTTATGCAGTCTTAACTCCTGAGTTTCGCAGTATGCTCCCTGGGCATCCCCAGTTCACCCAGCTGTGAATGGAGACCAAACTTTGTGAGGGGAAGCCGAAGGTGGTAGTGCATTGCTTCTCACTCTTCCTCTTCGTGTACCGGAAAAAAAAATTATGTGCATTTACCCACATTACAGGCAGTCAGGCCTGTGGAATCAACTTTCAATAGTGAAACATTTTGTTTCTTTGTCATGCGTTGTCAGTATGACACGAAGCTTACGGCGGACAAAACTTACATACGAAAACTAAACTAAGCCATCCAGAATCATACAACAAATGTACTTGAGACTAAAGACTGACGTTCTTGTAGATGTACTATTTTTTATCGATACGTAATACATTATGGTCTTTGATCTCATAACACACACATCTCAATTCTATTTGTTGTTGGAAAAAAGATGAAAGGAAGGGAATCTGGCGAAAAGAGAGAAAGATACGAAAATTATTGAGGCATCGTAATACAGTACAAAGACTTAGGTAAGATTGCTGGAAAAAAATGTAAACTGAAATGCAGAATTATCATTATCATTGTCATTCTATAATGTTATTATCTGAGCTCGATCTCCATTAAAATTATAGGGAATATGACCCAAAGTGGGTGGAGACAAGAGAGGCGTCGTACTGGCAAAAGCCAACGAACTAGAACCAGTTGACACAGAAACATAAGCTATACACAGACCAGCCTGTGTGGGGAGACACCAGCCTGAGTGAAGCAGCACGGAGGATAACAGTAGTAGGTGTTGTTACGCCACCAGCCTCAGGACAACACTCACCTCATTTACCACATTACCGCAGCTCGCCATCCACCATTTAAACTCGCCCAGTTAGCATACAGAGGTGGTCTTGGCTGCGTGTGTCCTAACTTGTCGCGTTGCTGCTCCATGATAGGTCGTTTATGGCTGTCACAACTGTGGCTCCTGGCATAAAACAAGACGCCAACCACTGCAGGTAGAAAGTGGTCGAACGTTTAACTGGTGTAACTTCCATAAGCGTTACATGGCAGTGGCAGGAGGCGCCAGTCGATTTTGTTTGCTCGTACTGACGCTGTTTATTATGATACGAACCCGTTTTGCTGCAGGAGTTTAAAGCCGTATTGATTGTCTCCTCAAAAGGTCTTATATCAGCTCCTGTTTGTGTGGTAGACGGTGATGGAGGCGGTACCATCAGGCTGTCAAAGTCAATTGCAACTCGATTTGACACCACGATCTTTTTATTCCCTCAACTGACCCGACCCGACCCAACCCGACCCGATGGGACGCGGACGATCGAGTTCTGCAGCCGTTTATGGAATTTTTCGCCAAAACCAAGATGCCACGGATAATAATTTCAATTTCAATTGTTTATTCCTTGATAGAGGAAGCGGGATCCTAGTGCTGTCACTAGGTACCGATATAATAGTTTTTCTTTGTGTGCGTGTGAGAGAGAGAGAGAGAGAGAGAGATCTGTACCGGACATTTATGCCTTGTTGGTGTCTGGTTAAGCTGTAAAATGGTGTCAATGATGAATGAGCTCTTGACTCATAATATACATTATAGCTAGAAATACCTAACTCTAAGATCGTTTATAGAAACAAGGAAGTGACACCCTCCCCCGCCCTGCTCAGTCTGAGGCAGACTTGCTAAATAAGCCCTCAAAAATAACCTTGATGAAATGAAATGCTTCCCAGGTTATTATTTACACCTGTTCACATTTTCAGTACAATTTGTTACCTGGTCATATTACTAATGTTCACCTGACCATCATTGAAACAACATACAGTCTATCTTGATCATAACTATCGTGCTAAACACTTTAAGAATGCAACATAAAGACAGATTAGCATCACAGTATTGTCAGCACAGTTGTTTAGGCTCCGGTGTGGACATTGCTGGTGGCCACAGAGACGGTGTACGGTGCAGGAAATATAAAATATATTTGTAAACTGTGACTCTTACCCTTTTAACTTACACGGAAAAGGGGAAAATTGAGTACCTATATTTAGGGAGTTTGGTTAGTGTTCAGGTAGCCAACACTGGCACATGTTCATATACGTTCAAGAGACCTAATTGCCGCAAAAAATACATTGCAGAAAACCGGCCGACAAGTGGTGAAGAATATCAGTAAAGTAGAATAAATTTTGCTGTGGCACCAGCTCCAGGAGTTGTCAAAGGAATGACTGTTCAGATTAAATGTCACGAAATGCAAAAGGATACACCGAGGTCGGACCACCGGCAAGGAAATGTAATACATGTCCCAACGTGACGAAGAAGCATCATTGACTGAGACCAAATGTGAAAAGGACCTGGGCGTGTATGTCGACAAGGAACTGAAGTTCTGGGACCATTGTGAGAAAAAGGTGAATTGAGCAATTAAGCTAGTACTAGGTCTTACAAGGTGGGCTTTCACACACCTGGACCCTCATAACGCTCCTCAACGAAGTGCTTCCCCGTCTGGTCCCCAAGATATGATAGAGAATATTCGCCGATTGAAATTGTCCAGAGGAGGGCCCACCAGATTGATGTCTGCACTATGGCACCTGAGTTACTCGGAGAGAGTAGAATACCTGCAATTACCTATAGATTATACTTTAGGCGGGCAAGGGGTGACTTAATATAAGTCTACAGGTATAATAAACACCTTCGAGGACATTACATAGTCTAGAGTCTATACCTGGAACTGGCGGATGCCCACCGCACTCGGGGTCACAGCTTAAGACTGAAGAAGTCACAAGTTCAGAAAGTTATCACGGCAAACTTTTTTGGGAAAGAGAGTTGTGAACTCTTGGAACAATCTGCCAGTGTTGTAACGGCACCGGGATTGAACGTATTAAAGACCAGACTTAACCAACACTGGTGCAGGCAGATGGATTCTGGAACCAGTACATGCCCAATACTTGTCAACAGTGCGTAACAGAGACGTGGCCGACCGCAAAGCGGCTAACGATAACGAACCGACAAGTGACGAAGAAGATAACTTAGATAAACACGAAGAGACGGGGAAATGATCTAATGAGCGATCTCTAAGTTTTATTGTTTTCTGGGACAGGCGCTGCGAATTGACATTGTTAACTGTATAAGCAGATGTTCTGAGGACGTCCAGTTGTAAATGGGAAGTGCTTGAATGTTTTGACAGGCCTTTTTTTTTAAGTGGTTCCATGTGTATTTGTGTTCATGCACAGATTTGTGCCTGCGTTGTGTGTGTTTTGAGGGGTGAGTCAAACTATTATTGCATTTTCCTGAAGTGAAGACCTGTTGGTAGGTCAATTTGAACTCAAATTAGGCAGAGAAATACATCATGATTTAATCTCAATGCACAAAGGGCAAGGAAGAATTATTGCATTAAAAATAAGCAAACCTAAGTACTGACTCTTGAAGAGCAACCCGCCACAGGCGGAAGTCAGGGAGCGCTTGTATAAACACTACACAACCAAGTACAGCACACAACTTCATTCCTGTTGGGTGATGATCATCGTCAGTTTATTTATTTTTTTATTTTTTTGTGTCTTCATGCAAACCTTCGTACAAATATATCAGCGCTTTCAAAACTGCGTTACATGACATGGTACTAGCACGGAAGAACGCAATTTTCATTAGTACCTATTATAACCTACTGAATATTCAGTAAATCTTATATAACATAAGAAAGGCTGAAGTGTTTTTTCCAGCTCGTTAAGACTGATAATCCCCCACGTTCACCCGGGTAGAGGATATCAGGATCCCCGCAGTGTGTACTCAACAGCTACTCTTGGCAGTAGTAATAAGCAGGGAATGTTCATATCTAACTACCAGGCAGCTATAAGCAGAGGGTGATAGAGGAGTCCCAGTGCCAGGCTGTTAGGAGTTGCAGGAAGAATTAGCCCCTCCTCCTCAGCAAGTAACACATACACACATACTGCAGCGTGTGCCAAGTGAACCACTGGATTAATACTGTAGCTCGAATGTGTGTCCTGACAATGTGGCGGGTAGAATACAGACGAAGCCGTAACCCTTTGAGCCAGTAACACTCTTCTTGATAACACACCTAAAATGTTTGAGCTCCTTCGTTAAAAGTTATCTTGTATTTGTATGAATCACACATTGACAACAACATGTTATTCATGCAAATATATAAAAGTTTATTACTTTTTTCCCCAGGAGGACCTCCGCCACCACCACCGCCACCACCAATTCCTGGCATCATACCATCATCTAGACTTCCTTCGGAGGTAAGTATCAATCTGATCCTATTTTCGTTGTTTCATAATATGCTGTTAACACTGCCATTCTCATGAATTATTTTGTATAAGAGTAATAATGGATGCGCTTCATGGGGTAGTTACTTTCTTGTATGTGAACACTTGTTGTTGGAAATGAGCAGAGGAATGTCACAACCAGTCCCTTAGTCTCGTCTTGTCTTTATATTAACAACTCCCAACACCCGAGTTTTATTCCAGACTTTAAAGCTAAAATTGCCCCCTTGGTGGTGTTAATATACAGTATTTGACAAAGAAGGAAAACTTTATATTTTCTATTACTGTGCTTTTATTAATGAGTATGACATTTCAACCGTACTGTATCTTGGTGTTATAAGTCAGATAATTAATGATAGAGAAACTTTCCTTAATCAGAAGGAACATTTTTTTTTTTTTGGTTGAGACGATCTCCCTCAAGACTTCGCCAAATAGCATCGCCTCTACTCTTAGCTCACAGCCATCATATACTTGTTAAAGGTTTCACAAATAATTTTGATTGTGGTCTGACCAATGTGTCTTCCCTTCAACAGATCCCTGCCCGACTTCCAGTCATGAATCCCCCATCAGCTCTGGCTGGCGCCATGATGAAGGACAAGAAACCCTTCACCTACACCCCAGGAGGCCTCGACCTCTCAGAGATCAAGTGAGTCTTCCCACTGTAATTGTGTCTCAAGTCAGGTTTGTCTTCTCTCAGTGAAGGGCTGCAATGTAATGATATAACAGGGACATGATAGCCGAGTCCTGACAGTTGGACATGCCAGAGGGGCCAGTTTATGTAACTCACATAATGGATCAGACATGAGTTTGAGGACGTCTTGCCTCCCTCCCTCAGGTCCTTTACTTGTGACTCTCAGCAGGACCCAAGTATTACTTCCTTACCTTGTTTCACCTGTCAGGTCTTTGTGCTTTTTTGTAAATCATATAAATGTTCAATTAAAGTCTTTGTTCTGTTACAATATGTTTATATATATATATACATGATAATATTTCCTATACTATATATATTATTAGTAAAAAAGAAAATGATTTCATGTCTTATGTGACTGCATACCTGTACCTGTTTTAACAAGTGTATACCCTATTAGAATTCAAACTATATAGTAAAACAATGCTTTGAAAAATATTTGGTCGTATGAATGTTGTTGCTTAACCTCTTGGTTGGCTTGATTGACCACTTGGCAAGTCTGGTGTCATTAGCGTAACTTTTTACTAGTATGTAATGTGCTGACAGTAATACTGTATATGAGTGTAGAATGTTCAGACTGGAGCTTGGCTGTGTGTTATGTGTGTGTGTGTGTGAGAGAGAGATATGTGTAGTAAAAAGTAGGCACGTCCGCCAAGAATTGACATGGACTGGCCGTGCCGTCTGCTGCCCCCTGCATCCTTCCCTCTCCTCGACTCTGGCACAAGTGTTGGCACCCCCGCCCACAGGTCGCCAAGGATGCAGAGGCGCCTCTACAGGAATGCTTGTTCAGAAGGGGTGCGGCCATCTCCTCTAGCCCAGCAGCCTTCACAAGGCCCAGTGAACCCAACGGTGGCAGCACAGTCTACTCCTCAAGGACGGGCCGTCCAGGTACTACCCATGCCAGGCATGGCCATGGGACCTCAGCCACAACCACAACCACAACCGAAGGAACCACCTAAACCCAAGAGAACTGCCTGTGGACCTCCACCTCCACCTCCACCCTTTGTTCTAACACCAGAGAATGCTTTCAATCCGTCGTCTCCAGTCACATCGCCACTCATCATCAGCTCCCCGCCAACATCTTCCCCGGCACCAGAACCACAACTGGCCCGGGAACCTGGCCCCTCTATACCTGTGGCCCCGCCACTGCCACCTCAGTGTCTTGCAGCTAAGAGACATTCTCTCATCTCAGCCACACTGCCCTCTTCTCCTCAAGTAAATACAGTGCCATATGATCCTTCCCCTCCGCCTCTCCCACCACCCCAAGCTGTTCGAGTGCCTGTTACGCCACCCATTGCGCCTGTCACACCAACCACTGCGCCTGTCACACCACCAACTTTACCCGTTATGCAGCCCATAGTATCTGTTACATCATCTAATGTACAGGAGAAAGTCTCGCCCTCTTCAGTCCCAGCAATGGAACAAGTAATACCACCTCTGCACACACCCACACCCTCGCCACGAGAAGAGGAACCTTCACCAGGGCTAATCATCTCCCCACAGCCATCAATGGAAGAATTCTCATCTTCAGTAACAAATGAACTCCCTGTTTCTGATGAAGAAGCATTTGCCTCGCTTGAAGCATCCGAGTCACCACAAATGTCAGAATATGATAGTAAACACAAAGAAGATATTGGAACACCATTACAGACAAATTCAAGCGTTCCAGAGCAAGAGCCTGCCAAACAACCTGCTCTCAGGGACTCATCACCCAGTAAACAGTCTACTAAGAGCAATCAACCTACACAACAAGTTCCTGTCAAGGAATTTATACCCAGTCAGCAAATTATTGAAGAACCATCACCAGCTCAGCAGCCAGTGCGGCAGCTTCCCCAAGAGCCATCACCAGTGCGGCAGCCTCCCCAAGAGCCTTCACCAGTGCGGCAGCCTCCCCAAGAGCCTTCACCAGTGCGGCAGCCTCCCCAAGAGCCATCACCAGTGCGGCAGCCTCCCCAAGAGCCTTCACCAGTGCGGCAGCCTCCCCAAGAGCCTTCACCAGTGTGGCAGCCTCCCCAAGAGCCTTCACCAGTGTGGCAGCCTCCCCAAGAGCCATCACCAGTGCGGCAGCCTCCCCAAGAGCCATCACCAGTGCGGCAGCTTCCCCAAGAGCCATCACCAGTGCGGCAGCCTCCCCAAGAACCTGCACCTGCTAGACAAATACCAATAAAGGAATCTTCACCTATTAAACAGGTGCCCATCAAGGAATCTTCACCTATTAAACAGGTACCCACCAAGGAACCCTCACCTATTAAACAGGTACCCATCAAGGAACCCTCACCTATTAAACAGGCGCCCATCAAGGAACCTTCACCCATTAAAGAGGTGCCCATCAAGGAGCCTTCACCTATTAAGGAACCTTCACCTATAAAACAAGTGCCCATCAAGGACCCTTCGACTGTTAAACCTATACCCATCAAAGAACCTTCTCATATTAAGTCTATCCCAATAGAGGAACCTTCACCTCGTAAACAGGTCCCCAGCACAAACTTCACCCCAGTTCGACAGACTTCTATCAAGGAACCTTCATCAACTCAACAAGGACTAGTTACGGAACCTCCCCTGGTGAGATATGTACCTGTTAAACAGGCTTCCCCATCGAGACAGATCTCCAGGCCTGAGGTAACATCAACCAAGCAGACCCCCCCCAGTGAACTTTCCATAATATGTTCACCACCATCTGTTCATGTTATGCCAGTTAAAGAACCTGCTCCAGCGAGACAGACATCAGTGACGGAAACGACTCCAGTTAGACAAAACTTTGTACAGCAGCCTCAACCTCTTACACAGCCTACTTATCAAGGGAGACAACAACCTCAGCCTGTGATACAACCCACTCTTGGACCAAATTCTGTGTGTCAGACTCCAGATCAAATAACTTCTCCTGTGATACAAACTTCTGCTCAATATTCTACTCCAGTAAATGTGTCCAGAGTACCAGGGCCTTCTGTAAGACAAGTCCCTGTGCATCAGTCCATCCCCATGAGACAGACTTCTTTGCCAGAACCTGCACGGGTTACAGAAATACCCATACAAAAGTCCACTTCTGCTAATCAAGCACCCAAACAACAATCCACTCCTGTAAGGCAGACTTCTTTACAAGAGACAGTGCAACCAAAGCCAGAACCTGTGAAAATGAATAATCAGCCTAAGATACACAATATACCAGTATGTATGCCATCATCCCCGCCGAGCATCGCAGCTAATGCAGCACCAGCTAATGCTAGAGGAGGCGCCCGGATAGTACGTCAGGCATCATTGCCTAATAAACCCTCCTCACCCCAAGTGTCCCCACCTAATGCTCAACTGGGATCTATTTATGTCCCTCCCATCAGTAGTGACACAGAGAGCACTACTTCACCAATGTCACCCTCAAGTGACAGGAGTCCAAGGTTGAGCCCAACCACAGGCCTCCTCAAATGTCCTTTGCCTTGGATGTGTGCTCAGAGGCAGAATGCCTCACCACCTCCATCATTTGTCACACATGCTCAACAGACACAACAAAGGCTTCAACAGAATCAGCAAAATCGTCTCTTGAGACAAAGGTCATTAGGACCTGAATCCCCTCCTACACAGCCCCTTGCTGAGGCTACCGTTCTGCCCCAGCCAGAGGTTTATCACCACCCAGGCTTCCAAAGACAGAAATCTTTACCTCCTCCTCAGCGACCAAACCCACAGCCGCAGCCACAACCTATAAGAATACAACAGCTTCGACCTCAGTATCAGCAACCACAACAGTCTCGTGTAATTCCTATTCAAGTACAGCAAGCACAACAAACTCGCACAATTCCCATCCATGTACAGCAAACACAACAACAGAAGCAGCGCCCCAGGGAGCGCATCATTCCCATAATGATTGAACGGGATTCCCCTCCAAAGAACACAGCTCAACCTTCGACCCCCTTCACCTCCTCACCAGTAACAGCAGCAGCTGATTCTTTCATTCCCATCAGCACAGACATCGCTGGCAACACTAATGCAAGACCCAGCTTCCATCAGCCACAACCCAGCCTTCAACAAGCACAACCTAGCTTCCAGAAAGCACAACCTAGCTTCCAGCAAGTACAATCCAACTTCCAGCAACCACAGCCTAGCTTCCAGCAACCACAGTCCAACTTTCAACAACCACAACAATGGCAACAGTCACAATCACAGCAACAAGCACAAAAGCAACAGCCACAGCAGCATCAACAGGAAACATGGATGAATTCTCCTGGTACAACATTCTCTCCACCACAGTTTCCTTCAACTCCCTTGAGTGGGGGTCAGAGTGGTGCATTCCACCCCTACAGCTCCCCAGCAGGGGTGTATCCAAACAATAATGCCCTTGATGCTCTCCATCAGATGCAACAGAGCCTTGCTCAGCTCAACTCAGGCCTACAGAAGTAAGTCGTATCTATGGCACTCAGTCCACCCCATAGTGCGACCTGGACACCTTCATGTAGTCACCCCTCATACCCCTACTTATCTTCTCTGGCCTGTAATCCCCATATTGTTTTTTTTAGCAATGATCCTTTTTTAATAGCTAGCTATGATTTTGTAATGTTTAATATGACGTCTTATCAATAACTAGAACATTTCATGTACACTGACTTGCTCTGTTTTCATGTTTGATGTCATGACAATCAAATACAATACCATAAATGTGTATAATTTTGTGGAAGAATATTCACCATAGGACTTGCTGAATAGTGCTTAGCTCCCTTTAACTATGACTAATTATTGTTAATGCTCTTAAACCAGTTTTTCAGCAGTATCCATTCTTTTCACATAATGGTCCACACTAACTTGGTATTAATATACCCTTTTTATATGTTTAATACTCTTAGAGCTTAACATTGTCTTCTGTACCTTTGCAGTGCGTTTCCAAGATTCATTCAGAAAAAAATGTCGGACTCAATAACGCCTCGGACAACCCCTAGGTATAGTAAAAAAAAGGGGTCTGTGAGAGCAAAATGGTGGTTGTCTTGTTGTCTTAGTATGCCACCTAGACTATTCCTCTGTGTGTTCATTCACTGGTGTAGCCTCAAAGATGTGATGTCATATATACTTTTATGTTGCTCAGTGAATGACTTCACACATACAAATACAAAGTGAATTTAGGTTCATGCAATGACGTCACAGCCTTAAGGCAAGCAAATCTATACACCAGCACTGAATCCTATGGTTATCCTGTGCTGGTAAGGCAATAGTATTAACACATACCACTCAAGAGTGGAAATAAATTATTTAGTTTCTACAGAACCATATACTGTACTGTACTTTGTAAGGAAACTTATTTTCTGTTCTGTAATTGGAAGTCCTAAGTTAGTGTATTTGAAACCACTGGTTTAACTTGTAAACTTTTGTAATATGTCCCTCTGAAGTTACTAACATGTAAGGTGTGTTTCTCTGTACTTTACTTACATACTTCCAGAAGCCATTTGTACCTTTTGTGTTTTATACCACTTAATTATGTGTGTACTTTTGTTTTTGTATTATAGTTTTGTTAACCATAATTGATTTCTTTTCTGCTACTGATGATTTTATTTTTTTTATTGCTCTACCTGTACTTATTTTGAACTTCCATATAAATGTTGCATCGTTTATTGTTTATTTGTATATGTATTATTTGTCATTAAGAAGTAAATAGGGAATAATAAACAGTTCAGTAATGCATTACGTAATGTGTTACCATTACAGGTACAGTACCTGTATTTTTTTTCTCCAGCAATTAAATTTCCTTAAAAAGTAATTTCTGAAAGGTGCCCAGAGTATCAAACATTAGAAAAAATTAAGAGCAAACTATTATATGTTTTCTTATACTGTACTGTATTGTAAAATCTAGAATATAATCCCTATTCAAGATAGCTAAAATTCCTCATCTTGAAATAATGGTACAGTAGCCTACTTGTTCCTCTTTATGAAGGTTTCTCCATAATTTAATAAAATATCTATACTGCAGTACTGTATTCATATTAACAGTATTAATATTTTACAGCTCACAGCCATACCGGCCACAACAGAATGGTGATGGCATGGTGACAGCTGACCAAGCCACTAGTGGGGTAGACATGGGTGGGGCTCCAGTCCAGTCTCGTTCATTCAAGCTTCTGCAGAATGTCCTTGACCATCAAGACACAACAGGTATTACTTCTCAAACTTAGTTATTATCCTCTTCATTCCTTGCAAATGAACATAAATATTATTTTGTCCTTATTTATAGGTATGTTTCCCATATACGTACAGTATAGTTTTATGTGCTGTAGTACATATGAGTTACAGTACAGTATTTAAAAAGTGATGGTGTTCCTAATGACAGAAAGTACAGTAGCAGGTACTCCTCGACTTACGACCACCAGGACATACGACCGCCGCAGTCGTATAAAATATTTTTCAAATGAAGTATTTTCAAGTCCCGACGTTAGTGATCGCGCTGTGTACTGACAAAATTTTTTTTTGTAATTCCCTTTAAAATGGCTGACACGCGTAAAATTGAGAGTTCTCATGGTGCTGAGAAGAAAAAGAGACACCCATATTAGATTTTCTAGGTATTATTTTCGCATTTTCGACTTACGATCTGGTCATCAGTCCCTAACCCCGTCGTAAGTCAAGGACTGACTGTATTACTTTCAGGAGAAACAGCTTTTAGTTATGAGGAGAAATATTATTTGTTTCAGGATTTACCTTATAAGACAAGTAAATTATTTATTGAATGTCTCATCAAACTGGTAAGTTCAGTTAATATTTTGTGTAAATACTGTGCTGTACCATCTAGACAATAATATCTTTAATTGTGTATGAAAGCATGAGGCTGCTATTATCCTGCCCAATGAATGAATTTTGAAATATGCTAAGTAAAACATATATGGATTATATTACATTCCTTATTACTGAATTTCTTGTCCCTATAGAATTACTACAGGTATCGTTAAGAGCAAGCATCTTGGTTCAGTGAGAGTCATTCGTTCATGGGTCATTAGAGATGTTACAGTACATACAGGGCGATCGTCACTCCACGAACAACTATAGACCAGTGAGCCTGACCAGCATAATATGTAAAGTACTTGAGAGTATTATCAGAGATGCCGCGATGGAACATCTACTACGAAACAACCTTGTAAAGGATTGCCAACACGGTTTTATGCCGGGGCGTTCCTGCTTAACACAATTGCTCAAGGTATTGGATATTTTGACCCATATTTTGGAATGGGGTGGTAATAGCGACAATATTTACCTAGATTTTGCCAAGGCTTTCGACAGTGTACCCCACGAAAGGCTGAAAATCAAACTGAAAGGGTACGGAATTCGGGGAAATGTCCTAGCGTGGATAGAACACTTTCTATATGACCGCAAGCAGTGTGTGGTGATTAATGGCACGAAATCATTATCCGTACCTGTCACAAGCGGGGTACCACAGGGCAGTGTATTGGGCCCGCTGCTGTTTGTTTGTTTCATAAATGACATGCCTGATGTTGTACACTCCTCCATACAAATGTTTGCCGATGATGCCAATTTATTTCGGGAAATCAAGAACCAAGCGGACTGTGAAGAGCTGCAGAAGGACCTCTGTGGGCTCCAAGAATGGTCGAAGAAATGGCTGCTGAGATTCAATGTCACGAAGTGTAAGAGGATGCACCTGGGGCATACCAACAGTAAGGAGGCGTATCATATGTCCCAACAGGATGAAGAAACTGCACTACCTGTATTTGAGGCTGAATGTGATTGATTTTTTATTTTGCCGCTTACAGCGGCTACTTTATTGTGCACCCCACACTCATCCTGTGAGCGGTAGCACAAAAGAATTACAGAGTAGGGTTTACAAAGGGTCATAATAATTAACCCCCGTTGTCAGGATATTATGGCACTGAATGTTACACAGTATTTCATTTACATTATTTGTTTAGTTCTATACATAAAGGGTAACTTATTCACAAATGCGCGAGTACAGGCATGTGAGGCAGTATGTCTGGCCTCACTTATTCACATTTACGTGAGAGGTATTCAAGCACATTGCGTATTTGGTTCTGTACATGAGAATTGATATACTAGTTACTAAGTGCAAAAAAGTGGATACAATCTTAATATGTCGGCTATCTTGCCATTAGAGATGAAGTGTTGTGCCATTTCACACACAGTGTGCTTGGACCTATCCCTAAAAGGTTCTATCTTCACACAGTCGAGGACGTAGTGTTCAAGTGTGTGGCCATATGTCTGGCCACACACTTTACATTTAGTTTTGTTTACATCTGCTTGAGGAACATACTGCCAAAGGTACTTATATCCTAACCTTAATCTAGAGGTTACAACATCTTGTAATCTAGTGATCTTGTTACTTGCTCCATATACATGTTTCACTTGATACATCTCATCATGGTAACCTATGGATCGACTAATGCCTGTTTGCATTTGTCTACTTGCGTCAAACTCATCAATAAGTTCTTTCCTAATTACAGTTTTAAGGGTTCTTTTTGACAGACCCAAATTGTATTCAACAGTGTCTTTGTTAGATGCGAGTTTGGCGAGGGCATCAACTCTTTCATGTTTTATGAGGCCTATGTGAGAGGGGATCCACAACAGTTTGACCCTGACACCCCGGTCAACAAGGCACGCATATTTGTCTCTGGCTTCAGAGACAAGAGCGTGACAACCTGAGTCGAGGGTACCAAGGGCAAGTAGTGAGGATAGAGAGTCAGTGATGATGAGACTGTCAGTAACAGTGGTTTCAATGAATTTTATAGCTGTGAGTATGGCAACTAATTCAGTTTGTAGAGTGGATGCCCAGTTGTTAATTCTAACTCCTTTCTCAATTATATTACCGTCAGGTTGAGTCACAACAATAGCACTTCCAGCCCTCCAACTGGCGGTGTTAAGAGATCCATCAGTGTAGATGGTCTGTGTGATATTATCATCAGTCTGTAGAGTGTGTATGTGTTCAAGAGCTCTCAATTTGGCAGTGTGTTGGAGATAAATGCTTTGTATAATTAATTTTTTAGGCGGATACGTCGGTATTGTGATATCGAAGGGAACTGTCCGCCAGGGTGGCAGGAAGCGCTGTTGTGTCTCAACTTTGTACAGGTGGTCTAGTCCAAACATCTTCATATGTGTAGCTGTAGTTTGGATCCATTTAGACTCAGTAGTCCCATGGTTCATACATTCTAGCAATTTTAAGGAAACAATGTTATCAGGATCACCATGCAGAAGCCTCAGGGCTATCATGAGGTTGACTTCAATTATTCTATCTTTAACACTGGGTATACCTAGTTCTTTCCTCATATTAAGTACTTTAGTGCTCATGGGACATCCTAGGATAATTCTGAGGGCTTTATTTTGCATTTTCTCGAGCTTGTCAACGCCTTTCCCATCACGAATGACCAGGGCTGGTGCGTGGTAATCTATCAGAGATCTTATATAGCCTAGGTACATTGTTTTAACAATTCTAATATTAGCACCATAGTGCGGGCTGTACCCCGCTACACTTCTAAGAGGTCTCAGTCTGTCAGTACATTGGCGGGTTAGCTGTTGTATGGCAGGTAGGGTACAAGGGACAGAAACACCAATATATTTAAAAGAAGAAACATAGTCAATAGTGTTGTTACCTATCTTGAACTTGGCGGGGCCGCGTTTGCGGTTACCAGCTTGTTTGTGAGAAGGACCTTGGTGTGTATGTTGACAATAAGCTGAAGTTCTCGGGCCATTGCGAGAAGAAGGTAAATCAGGCAAATAAATTATTGGGTCTTATAAGAAGGTCGTTCAGATATCTAGACGGTCCGTCCCTCGTAACGATCTTCAAGAGTGAAGTGCTTCCACATCTGGATTATTGTCACCCTGTCTGGTCCCCGAGATATGCTAGGGACTGTCAGTTGGTTGAAAATGTTCAAAGGAGGGCCACCAGACTGGTGCCTGCCCTTCGGCACCTCAGCTACTGTGAGAGATTGGAGCGCCTGAGCTTGCCTAGCTTATACAACAGACGGGCAAGGGGTGACATAATTGAGGTGTAAAAGCATCTCAGGGGGCACTACTCAGTCAAGTGTCCTCACTTGGAGCTGGCGGACGCTCGCCCCACAAGGGGTCACAGCTCAAGATTGAAGAAGCCGCAAGTCCAGAAAACTGTGAGGGCAAACTTTTTCGGATTGAGAGTTGTGAACTCTTGGAACAATCTACCAGAAAGTGTTGTGACGGCACCGAGTGTGAGCTCTTTCCAGACAAGACTTGACCAACACTGGAGCGGGTTCAGGTACATTCAGGAGCCGGTGCATACCCAGTACTTGCCAACAGTGCGTAACAGAGACGTGACCGATCGCCCAAGCGGCTAACGAGCCGATCTTTTGGCGAAGAGGATAAAAGAAAAGGAAAAGTAATCAGAGACGTGACCGATCGCCCAAGCGGCTAATGAGCCGATCAGTGGCGAAGAGGATAAAAGTAAAGCATTGACTATACTGTAATGTACCACCATATGCAGTATAGTCTGCATTTACGCTGTCAATTGAACCCGTGGAGGTCCGCGTAAAACGAGAAATGCGCAAATGAAATAACAGAACATATGAGATTAATTGAAATAGAGACTGGGCCGACCCCCAAACTCCACTTTTTCCGACACAATACGTACGTTATAGTAAAAATTACATCTTAATTTTATGATGGTATGCACACACAATTAATATTTAAGAGAAATATGAATAATATTAGGTTTTTTAACACTTACGTTAGTAGAAAAGATGGGTCGGCACACTTGGATGGCGGCTGGTTCCGAGGCAGAGGGCAGATTAGTTGCCCTCCGGTGAATCACTTTAACTACTCGCAGAGGCTTGCAGGGCCTCCCAGACAAACCCCTCAAAATCCATATCCTCACTGTCACTATCACTATCAATGACTTGGGCTGGCTGTGGTTGTGATGGGTTGCGGGCGAAGAAGTCCTTAATACAGTACTACGTTGACGACTAGCATTGATGTTGTTGAGATAGATCTGGATATACGGCTCCATAACTTTCGTCAGATGGTTATTAGACACTTCATACCGATGCTTGTCTGGGTCGTTGTCAAGGCTGAGCTTAATTTTCTCCCCCAACTCGATGATTTCCTTCACATAATCATGGCTTGGTCCAGGTATTTCAAGGTTTTTCTCGGGTGGTGGGGGTCCAGCGGAAGCCATTGTGAGGGGAATAGCGGGCACAAGAGAGAATTGTATACGCGGACTGAGAACAATGAGACTGGCCCGGCTAGGTCAGCGACTTCTACCCTCAGGTGGCAGGGCACGTCATGCTACATTAGACCAATCACAGCTAGCGGCGGAGGGAATGCGTCGGTGGTAAGGATGCGTGGCCCAATCACAGTCCGATACGTCATATGACGTCAGCGATAACGTAAGAGTGACCTAATGCGCACCACTCACCGCGCCTCTTCCCGTGTATGGTCAAGAATGGACCGCATGAGTAAAAAATGGCGCGGCGCATCTGCACCTCTCCAGCCGCTCGCCCCGTAAATGATGAAATTTACCGCGTAATTAAAACATTTCATTCTGGCAAGGCACTGCGTAAATGACCAAATGCGTAACAAAAACCGCGTAAATCCAGACTATACCGTATTACCATTTGCAAAAAATAAATAAATAAATAAATTGAGTGACTTAATAAAGCCTACACTGTACTTATACTGAACTGTACAGTATTCTAGAATTTTGAACTACCACCCTTTAGTATAAAAGTTGTTCAATTGAATGGAATTTTACAGATGGTGATGTGTGAGTGAAGTAACTAATGGATGTGTAAAATCAACATTGGTCTTACCGGTACTTCATCAGTAAACTGTCAGGAGAGGTGTATTTATCCTCGCATTTATATTTTTTTCATTGACTGCTGTATCATGATACATTAGTCTTAGATATTTTAAGGACAGTTCTTAATGTTATATAGGCTTCCAAGACTTTAAACATATCTGTCTTCTCCAGCTGTGATTCTTGTGTTTTACTGTACAGTACACATCACATGCTGAGACAACCTTCATATTTTCAGATATTCTTATTATTGCAAGCAAATGGCAATGGCTTCTTTTACTTGGCAAACCAATATACTTAGGCACAGTGTAACCATGCAGCCTTAGCATTGGGATTATATCCTAGGACTGTATCACTGAGTTCTGTTACCTGGGTGACATGATCACTGCTGGAAGGGATGCTTTGTTGCTTCGTATTACATTATACTACATACTATAGTAAACAAATGGCCTTGAGTTGCCAGCTGTCTCCAGCAGTGTTCGAAGAATCTTGAACGAAACTGTACGTATGTGGACAATAGGGGGTGTGGTGCCTGGGGTTAGAATGCAACCCCATATTTTAGTGTGAAACAATAGTTCTTCAATGCTGATTTTACTGTGATTCCTCAGGAATGCATCTTTTGGACTTTGTGTGGGATGACTGCATGTACTGTACTGTACAGTACAGGAATAAAGAAATATTCATAATTTTCTTGGCACTTCATCATATTCTCCATTTTTTTTAGCCCATAAATTAGTTTTTTGTTCAACTACAGTACTGGTCTGTAATGTAACCTAACCTAGTTTAAGTTATGTTAGGTTTGGTTAGGTTAGATTTGCAGAAAAAACTAACTTAAGATCTTAAAAAAGTTTTCAGGATATATAAAGAAGTACCAATCAAGGTTCATTGTTATTTATATGCATATGTAGTATTGTGATAGGAATGTATGAATAACATACCAAATAAATGTACTACTGTATTATTGCCAAGAAAGAATAATGTTAAGATTAGTCTCTCTTCTCTGAGACAAAAATATGGTATTTAAAGTAAGAATACAGTATAATTATAATTCTACATAAGTAAGCAGAGTTTGGTGGGTGCAATATAATCTCCATCCTTTCCTTAACTTTTTTTTTTAATTTGCTTTTGTATACCGTAAGCTTTTTGCTACTAAGAACCTGAACTTTTTCTTTCTCCTACACATACGGTAACCCTTCATGTGTCCAATCAGTAACCATTGTGTTGTTTATTATGTGTTGGACTGTAGCTACTTATATATTAATGGTAGTTATTATTTTTGACCAAATATGGGATGAGGTGAAGATTACAGTACAGTATATCATTATTGTAGGAATTATTTGTATTTGCATTTTATAGTTGCTTTCATAGTGGCCTTGCTTTAAGTATCAATAATGGCACTATGTACATTAAGAAATACTAATTACTGTGCTTTGTTTAGTTTTTATTGGAGCAGAAGAAGAAATCTATGACATATTACACAGAAGGATTAAGTATCCTTTAACCATTGCATTACTGCATTATACAATATCTTCTCATGAAGGATTTTCTACAGAAAGATAATGAATATCTTTAAGAATTGGCAAACTTTGCAGATACGCCATCAAATGGTATGCCCATGAAAGTAGAGGTGCCCCTTGGAGCACCTGCCCGTGTCATACAGCAAGGTAATGGTCAGCGAGGATCCATTTCTCAGACAAGTGGCGGACAAAGTAGTTCCATCACCAGTGTTGGGAACTCTAAAAACCAGCAGAGAGAAAATATAGATCAACAGAATGGAGGATTTAGGGTGATCCCTATCCAGCAAAGCGGGGAAGAATTAAAAGTCCTACCTAAATATATTGGAGGATATAAAGCTAACATCTCAGACACAAAGGGGTTATCAAATATCTTTAAAAATCAAGGTGAGATCAGAACCTGATGGAGGGCATATTTCTGAAAAATAATTTGTCCATGTCTATATTTTTGATGCTGTTAGTTTTGGCCACTGATCACAGTATAATATTGAAAAAATAAAATTTATTTTACGTAAAACTTTTAGACATTTGTAATTTTTCCTGATTGTTTAATGTTTAAAGTATTGTATCTGTACTGTCACAATTCTTGTAAAGATTTTTTTCTTATGAGCCACATTTAATGAAGAGTAATGAGTGACAAGCTTCTTAGCATCATATAGTAGATGGACAAATCAGGATATGTCTGCTTATGATTAAATATGTTCATATTTTATTCGTATATATGTACAGTACTGTACTTGATATTGTATATGCAGTATTCGCACTCATTGTGAAAATATAAGAAATAACAAATACAGTACCAAGAAAAAATGTATAACTCTTGACAATTCCTGATACTATAGTACGAGTGTCTACTGATACTGATGAAGCTCGGAGCAGGGGTGGCCACTTCCCTGCCACCAAGACTGTTATTATCACGCAGAAGACTGGTATGAAAGTTCTTAGAACTTGACGCTTATCAGAAATGGTGGTGGGCCGGGTTAAGAAGTATATTATAGTTGCCATGTTGTATTGGGCTTTGGGAGGTGGTGGTTGCATGAGTTACTGGTGAAGGGAACTTCAGTAATGTAATTGACTTAAGAAAATCGTTAGAAAATATTTGTCTATTGTTATTCTGTTGCTAAAGCAAATGATACCACAAATAAAATAGGGATTTCAAATTGAACAGAAAAAAATGATTGTTTCATTGTTTATTAATTTTGCTGCAATGTATCTAATTAATGACTAATTTTATGCCTAATTGTAGTTATTTTTTGGTTTTCATATTATATCTCCATTACTATTCTGTTTCTATCTTCTTAATGTGTAGGAACCAGTCCAGAGTTTGTTTTCTAACAAATGAAATGTTTGCAATGTGTGTGTGTGTGTGTGTGTGTGTGTGTGTGTGTGTGTGTGTGTGTGTGTGTGTGTGTGTGTGTGTGTGTGTGTGTGTGTGTGTGTGTGTGTGTGTGTGTGTGTGTGTGTGTGTGTGTGTGTGTGTGTGTGTGTGTGTGAGTGTGTGAGGGTGTGTGAGGGAGTGTGTGTGTGTGTGAGTGAGTGTGTATATGTGTGTGTGTATATGTGTGTGTGTGTGTGTGTGTGTGTGTGTGTGTATATGTGTGTGTGTGTGTGTGTGTGTGTGTATGTGTGTGTGTGTGTGTGTGTGTGTGTGTGTGGTGAGTGTGTGTGTGTGTGTGTTGGAAACTGTATATCTATCAATCACTGCTGCTTCAATTCTCCTCTTTTTTTTTCTTTTTTTTTGCAATCTCAGCTACATTAATGTCCTGGTTACAGAAATTCAGAATAAAAGGACTTGTTATGCTTTTTGCATGTCAAAAATAGAAGTGGTGCCTCTTCTTTCTCTTCTTAACTTTTTGTATTACTGTATGTTGCATTTAGCTTTTGATAAAAGTTTTTATTTGCTTCTGTTATCTTTTGCTACCTTTGATTTTTTTTCTTTTCCTCTAACTCTGTCCTCCTCTAACGCACCCCTCAGGTTCAGATGATGAAATCTCCATTTATATGCAACAGACTGTTCCACACTCTAATACCCCAGTGCATCAAGGAGAGGTGCTGCCCAAGCAACAATATAGTCAGATCCAAAACCAACAGAAAAATCCACAAGAGAATTATGAAAGCCCTGAGTACCAAGGGCAGCCTCAGCAGTACCAAGGGACTGCACCTAAAATTAAACAGCTAACACAATCAAAAGAAAAAGAGGAGCCCACTACATCAAGATTTTTCCGAATGCTTCAGACGATCACTGATACTTTGCCTGAAGGAGCTGGTATGAGGCTCGGAATGACCTGTTATTTGCTTGGTTTCCTACATTCATGACACTCCAACCCCAGCCTTTTTGTATTTCAGATGTAGCTGGTAGTTATTACAGTACTGATATTCCATAATGTAAATCCTGCGTCCTTGTGTGTATATTGTCTCTGTGACTAGCACATTCTCACACACTTATTTGAATAATGCTTTACCAAAGATGACTGTGACATGCATTTGCTCATATAAATGAAACAATTAAATATATTTTTTCAAAGGTCCTTTTTAAGGAGAGAAATCTGAATAAAATAGCAGCGGAACATGATCCAGTGAGAGAGAGATTACTCTGAACAGATATATGTACTGTACTGTACTGGACAGTACATATTTCAGAGAAATGTATACTGTACTTGTACACTCAACTGAAATCTACGATTGGATATAAAACATTGGAATATTAGTTTTAACATTAAATTTTATGTAACCTATGATAATCTTGTGGATCTCAAAAGTGAAAGTTTTAACAAGGTTTAGCTCAAATAAAAAAGGGTTATGTTAAACATATTGTTGTCATTCACACTTCCAAGGGCTGATATTATTTTTGAGTGCGTCTTGCTCATTCAGTGGATAAGGTTATGCAAGAGATATATGCCTTTAATTCCATCAGCAGTGTATGACACAATTATAAACACTACTTGTAAACTAACTCGATGGTGAGATATTCCAGATAAGCATATTAATTTGTTTTGAGGATGATTGATTGATGTGTTCAGAAAACACATATCGATAACTACTGTATGATTAATCCATACTGAACTGTGTTTATATTTTGTTGGTCTCTTATAATGTTGGATACATCTGTCTTGAGTGCCATGACATTTACTCATGCTAACAACCCATTAAACTGAAATTCACTTATTGAATATTGGTTTACATTTAGCTGCATGTGAATCTAACAAACAGGGAGGAACAACAGTAGTAAAAACTCAAAGCTTTTCCTATTGACAGTAACTATTACTAGCAAGTAGAGGTTGTTTTTACTTTAAATTGTTTGCATCTGTAGTGGTATACTGACTGTACAAATACTTAATGAGCTTTCAGTATTTTAGAGACAGAATCATAGAAAGAAATCACTAGTTTGCTTATTTGTTATAGAATAGAAGCATTTTTTGTTTCCATTTATTCCGAATGTTACTTTTATGATAGACATGCTGTAAAGTCAAATAAGTAGATTTATGACCTAACGGTAATATTGTAGTAGAGAGCAGTTAATTGTAGTAATGCATACTAAGATCAATAGTTATTCAGTAATCATCTTCTTAATCCTGTCATCACAAAGAAATTTAAATGAAGTATGGTAGCAAAACAATTATGTATCATTGTACTTTGTCATTCCTTCCTCTAACATTATGTACCTTCCATATCTCAAAAACAACTTATAAGTCCATTGACATTTGGATGGCTTTCAGTGTGATAGTAATTACTATAATGCATTGAAAATCATAAAACTTTACCCATGGCCATCTAAAGACAATCACTGACTCTTAAGTTGTGCCCTGTTACCCTCCTTACCTTGTCCAGTTTGTTTATCCTCCTCCACCCTCAACAGAACCCCAGGGACCTGTCCACATCCCCAACTTCCGACAGCAGCCGAAGCCAAACCACATGCAACAGCCAAGTCAGTACCAACAGCCAGGCCAATACCAACAGCCAGGCCAATACCAACAGCCAGGCCAATACCAACAGCCAGGCCAATACCAACAGCCAGGCCAATACCAACAACCAATCCAGTACCAACCACCAGGCCAGTACCATCAGCCAGGTCAATATCAGTTTCCATGGGTTTGACAAACCTGATACATTTTCAGCAACTAATTCAAAATGGTGGATCATGACAAACATTGGATTGAAATCTCTCCCACTTAAAATGTTATTGTTCTTGTACACATTATACGTACTGCATACACTGAGTAACTTCTTTTCTCTATTTTAATATTATTTAAGTTCTTGTAATATCGTGAGTTTGTTTTTAATAATTTAAATGAATATTGATGAATTTTTCGATGTTCTCTCATTTGAAATTGCTTGCCATAATTGTAGACATAGTACTGGACCCCTTAAGGATTAAGTTTACTTTTGCAAGTATCACACAAAGGAAAAAGGAAGAGGTTATTAGGTAAAAGCAGAAAATTCTAAGTACCTGTACCAGTAAGTACTTGGCTGTCAGCATTTTGGAAAGTTACAGTTGGTGATAGAAATGAGGTACAGTACTTTAAAATAATGCAGTATACTGTATAGTGCAAGTCCAGTACTATTATAATTAATTTTCTCGCCTGCTTGTTGTGTTGTGGTTACTAGATAATGAAGTTTATGTCAGCAAGCCTAAATAGTAATATTAAAAGGAATTACCGTAGATGTGCCTGACAAATGGTTGTTATATGTCATTACTTTGTATCAGGTAATGGATACAGAAAGATCCTAGGAGCTTTTTTATAATAATTAAAGTGGAAAATGAATGTCAGAAAATATTAACATTGTAACCCTCAAGGAAGGGCAAACTTCTTAGGATTGAGAGTTGTGAACTCTTGGACTAATCTACTAGAGAGCATTGTGATGGCACCAAGTGTGAGCTCATTCAAGACCAGACTTGTCCAACAGTGGCACAGGTACAGAGACATTCAGAAGCCAAAACATGCCCAGCACTTGACAACCGTTTGTAACAGAGACGTGACCGATTGCCCAATCGGTTAATGAGCCGATCAGTGGCGGATAGGATAAAGTAAAGTAAAAAAGGGGGGAGGGGTCTTAAAATAGGCATGGACACCCTATATAAATGGAGTCTCAAACTGATATGAATTTATAGGTAAAGTGATGATTAGAAAATGAACGAAATACCATGTAGTAGGATTCAGTGAAGTGTTTTCATAAGAATAATGGAAAAACCAGAAATTAACCAAGAAGACATATTTCATTAAAAAAAATTGAAACTGAAGATCCAGTTGCATTGATACTGTACATCACATATTATGTAAATACAGTTGTACTGTACATGTACATTTTACAGCTGTCTAATGTATTCAGAAAGATTTAATAATTTTAGGTAAATGAGTATTTAAAAAGAAAAATCAGCAGGTATGAACTTGTTTAATATAAAATAATGTACTGTACATACATAACTTCAGTGTTAGTGCAGAATGTAAGTATCATACTGTATGTAGCAATAAAATGCTGATGTTAAGACTTGCCACTTCTTCTAGAGGTGTGATGACTTCATAATCAGTACAGTGCTGCATTTTTCATCTGCTGTATAGTGTACAGTACAGTATTTCTTACTCCTTCAGAATAATTTTGTCCAGCAGGTGGCATGAGCAGTGCAGCAGCTGCAGAAGAAGCTGTACCTGAACCCAAGAAATATATGGGTGGCAGTATCCCATCCCGTTCCTTCAGAATGCTGCAGGCTATGACTGGTGCTGATGATGGTAAGGCCATATCTTCTGTATGGTCTTTCTCACACTCTTAAAGAGCTTTGGCTGTCCATTATACAGTAAAAATATTATCCAGAATACTCATAAAAGGAAGATGAAAAAATTACAAATAAGAGAACAAAATAAAGGGTAAAATAAAAAAGGCTTCATGGAGTTGAATCTTTTTTCTTAAGGAAGTTTTATAGCTGTACTACATCAATTTTCAAAATATTTTTACATTATCTCAATCTTTTTTGTCATTGAAACAGAAAAAATCTGAATTTTTCTTACGGTCTTTTAAAATATAATGTTTTCATTTGTAGGTACAGTATTATGTCTAATAAGAAGCTAGTTTGAAAATTTACCAATTTAAATTTTTTTTATTTTCTGCTTATCAGTACCATTACAAGTAGTACTGTATTAGGAAAGTACAGTACAGTACTGTATATGGATTTTGGGCAGTACAATTCTCTTGAGGAGGTTAAGAAAGACTATAATAGAAGATGGAGACTTTTGCTGCTTTTAGCTGCTTGCCATAGACAGCCAATTGTTGTTGGTGCTGTTGGCTTTAGTTACCCATTTGCTATTTAATGTTCAGTATTTTCAGTTGGTGACTGTGTTTAAGTTTGGATGAGAGATTGGAATTATACCTTAGTGTAGATAAAATATCCTGCATAGATTACTGTGCTCTTCTGTTGATGCATATATTTGCTTTTGGTGACTTATAATTGGTGCAAACTTTCAAGGGATAGAAATCAGATGATGAGGGCTTTGGTTTATGTAAAAATGCATAATTTAGTTACAATAAAACAAATAATCCATTGTATATACAAGAAGACCTTGCTTCGTTGTAGTCTATATACACAACATTTCTTAATTATGAGATAGACACAGATTTTTACCAAGCTTTGTCAGATGGTAATTTAACAGAAGTACCCGTGTGATTACAAAATGTGCAGAAATGAAAGTTCTTTATCAGCCACCACATTTTTGCTGTAGAAAGGTGCTCTGAGAAAGTACAGTGCTGTATCAATTTTATTTCTCCAAATATGGCATATGGAATTTCATAGTGACTTGTGAGATAGACCATCACTAAGTACTACTGTACCACTAAGTACAGGTTACTAGGAAGTCATGTTCCATATCCTTCAAAAGTCAGACTTATTATGCCACTGATGACCCAATTCTGATCTTTAAGGAATTGCTTCTCTCTCCTTTTTTGTTTTTGTTGAAAACCATTTCAAATTTCTTTTCTTGTTTTACATCAAAGAACGAAGATGAAGTTAGGTTTTGGTAATACACACGTATATTATATACAGTATACACCCAAGATATATGACAGTAAGTGTACGTTACTATATATTTATATATAGCTGTGTCTCTATCCATTCACTTAAATGGGTAGATGCTGCATAAAATATTTATAAAAAAAACGGGAACAGTACAGGTATCCCCCAGTCTACAATCTCCCTATATACGATATATATTCTGCTTTAATGATGGTGATATGACTCATTTATGAACCTTTCTCAAGCAACTTGCAAGAGGGGTATGGTTATCTATGCTAGGAAAGTTCTTAGAGCCAGCCAGGTGAGGTTACAGGGAGAGGATGTTTTTGAAAAATCCAAGTGGTGTAAAATTAAATTAAAGGGTAGAGACTTACTTATTATTGTCAGGTGTATCTACAGATCGCCAAACTGTAGCTTATTAAAACAAAGGAACTTAGAGCCTCAATAGACAATGCAACAGTGCTCAACCCTAGCCACCTCCTTGTCATGGGGGACTTTAACTATGGTGACATCGACTGGAGAAATGAGACCACGCCAAATGACTTAAATAACCCAGCTACTCTTTTTGTAGAAACTCTGATGGAAAACTATATTTTCCAACATGTTAAAGACCCGACTCATTACAGAGAGGAGAAAACACCCAAGCCACTGGACCTCATCATAACAAATGAGGAGGGTATGGTACCAGTCATCACATGTAACGTTGTCCTTCAGATTTAACTGTTACTTGGTTCATGATAAAACCAGGCCAAGGTCAAATATTACAATGGAAATTACAATGGGATGAGGGCAGAGATGAGGGTTATCCACTTCCCTGACTCACTAAGGCATAAGAATGCAGACACTACGCTGAATATCATAGCCAGTAAAGTGAACCATTTGATCGATAACCCAGTGCCTCCAGGAATACAAAGAGACCGCTACACATGAACCATGTGGTGGTCAACAAAATTAAGAAGAAAACCCAGAAATTTGAGACGTGGGTTAGGATAAATGATGAGCAGGACAGGAGGATGTATTCCAGATACAGCAATCAATTGAAATCAGAGTGTAGAAGGGCTGAAAAGGAGTTCCAGAGGCAGATTGCAAGCAAGGTCAAGTCAAACCCAAAGGCGTTTTACTGCTACGTAAAATCAAAATTAAAATTGCGAGTAGGAGTATTGGACCTGAGGCTTGAAGATGGTAGTTACGCAGATTTTGAACAGGACAAAGCGGTGGCGTTGAACAGTTTCCTTTCCTCGGTGTTCACAAGGGAGGATGCGAACAACCTTCCTGTGTTTGAGGACAGACGGTTCGACACTATCCTCACCCAAATTGTGTTCTTAGAAGAGGTTATAAGAAATAAATTGTCAAAGCTAAAGGTTCAAAAGAGTCCCGACCCTGACATGGTGCATCCCAGAGTGTTAAGAGAGTTGTGCAACAAACTTGTTGAGCTCCTGAAGATCCTGTTCTATAAATGCCTGGTTGAACAAAAGGTCCCCAGTGATTGCAAAATAGCTTACAGTATATGTGAGTCCTATTTTCAAGAAGGGCGATTGACATTCTTTGAATAATTATAGACCAGTAAGCCTGACCAGCATAGTATGTAAAGTACTTGAGAGCATTATAAGAGATCCCATGATGGAACATCTACTACGAAACAACCTTGTAGAGGATTGCCAACACGGTTTTATGCCGAGACGCTCCTGCTTAACACAATTACTCAAGGTACTGGATGTTTGGACCCATATTCTGGAACAGGGTGGCAGTATTGACAATATATACATAGATTTTGCTAAGACTTTCGACAGCGTACCCCATAAAAGGCTGAAAATTAAACTGGCAGTGTCCTAGTGTGGATCGGAGACTTTCTCTGTGATTACAAGCCGTGTGTGGTGATTAATGGTATGAAATTGTAATGTGTACCGGTGATAAGCGAGGTATCACAGGGCAGTGTATTGGGCCCACTGTTATTTGTTTGCTTCATAAATGACATGTTAGAAGTTATACATTCCTCCATACAAATGTTTGTGTACGATGCTAAGTTATTTAGGGAAATTAAGAACCAAGCAGACTGTGAAGAGCTGTAGAAAAATGTGTCAGCTTTAAGATGGTAGAAGAAACGGCTGCAAAGATTCCATGTCACGAAGTGTAAGTGGATGCACCTGGAATGTACCAATGGTAAGGAGGCATATCATATGTCCCAACGGGATGAAGAAACTGCTTTAATTGAGACTGAATGTGAAAAGGACCTGGGTGTGTATGATGACAATGAACTGAAGTTCTTGGGCCATTGTGGGAAGGTGAATCAAGCAAACTAAATTATTAAGTCTTATAAGAAGGTCATTCAGATATCTAGAAGGTCTGTCCCCTGTAACGATCTTCAAGAGTGAGGTGTTTCCCCGCCTGGTCCTCGAGATATGCTAGGGACTGTCAATTGATTGAAAATGTCCAAAGGAGGGCCACCAGACTGGTGCCTGCACTTCGGCACCTCAGTTACCCAGAGAGATTAGAGCGACTGCAATTGCCTGGCTTATACTACAGACGGGCAAGGGGGGACCTAATTGATGTACAGTTGGTTCTCATATTACGCGGTCCCGCATTCCGCGTTTCACCGTTAACGCGGTGCCTTGCCAGAACCTAACATTTTCACATTCCGCGGTCGTGATCCCCATTACGCGGAGAGCGGCTGGCAAGCCGCGCCATTTTTGGATCCAAACCTCCCGCCATCCGCCATGTTGTGTAAGAGGCGCGAAAATGGTGCGCACAAGGTCGCCCAGTCATCAAAACATGACCAGTTCTTCACCCGCCACCCACTACAGCCGGCCCAAGTCAGTGATAGTGATAATTATAGTGAGGATATGGACTTATATGAACTTTGGGGGGTTTGACAAAGAGGCCCTGCAAGCCTCTGTGGTGGATAGTGATACAATTGATACAAGTGATACAGGTGAGGGCCAATAATCTGCCCTCTGCCTCGGAACCAACCGCCCATCCCCGTGTGCCCAGCCATCTTTTCTACTAATGTAAGTGTTAAAAAACCTAATATTATTGATATTTCTCTTAATTATTAATTGTGTGCGCATGCCATCATAAGTTAAGATAATATTTTTACTACAACATAGTTGTGTGTCGTCAAAAAGTGGAGTTTGGGGATCGGCCCGGACTCCATTTCAATTAATCCCATATGTTATGTTATTCACTTTACGCGTTTCTCACTTTCCGCGGTACCCTCCGGGTTACATTAACCGCGTAATATGAGGACCAACTGTATAGTATATAAACATCTCAAAGGGCACTACTCAGTTGACCTGGATCTGCCAGGGGATGCTCGCCTCACAAGGGGGGTCAGCTCAAGGTTGAAGAAGCCGCAAGTCCAGAGAGAGTTGTGAACTCGTGGAACTACCTGCCAGAGAATGTTGTCTTAGCATTTAGTGTGAGCTCTTTCAAGACTAGACTTGACCAGTACTGGAGCAGATTCAGATAACATTCAGGAGCCAGTGCATGCCCAGTATTTGCCAACAGTACGTAACAGAGACGTGACCGATCGCCCAACCGGCTAATGAGCCGATCAGTGATGAAGAGTATAAAAGTAAAAAGTAAGACCACCCCCCTATCTACAATGTAAACAATCCTCATGAATGATGGTCATCGTCTGGCCAAAGTACTTTACAATCACAAAAAAAAAAAAAAAACATAACTTCACAGTTACCAAAACAGAGTACACTGTGAACTTTATTAATGTCCTCTCACTGTAGGGTAAAAAAAAAAGGTGATAAATAACAACACTAATATGGAGAAATACTTGCCAACAGTGTGTAACAGAGACGTGACCAACCACCCAAGCAGCTAATGAACCGATCAATGGTGAAGAGGATAAAAGTAAAAATAAAAGTAATTACACGATTGTGACCATGTTCCTTCACCATAGTACAGTTGCGAAAATGTGTTTTTATGCCCCCTGTAGTAACCCTTGTCTCCAAACAGAAACATTGCAGTAGTAGTATCACTGTTTATGAATGAATGGGCATTGGTCGTTTAATAATGGATGTGATTGGTGGATAGGTTTGCAATAGTTCATATAGGTTGGCCGTTTGGAGACACTGGTTGTCAAGGGGGATAGGAACATGTTTATGCAACTGTACATAACTTGCTACTGTAGTGCACTCAGTGGCTGTTAGGTGGCACTCATGTTTGTTGTTGTCAACATGAGTGCATTCTATCAGCCACCCGTTGCACTACGGTACCAAGCTTTGTTCTATGGTGATCGAACATGGCTGTGATTGTGTAGTTCAGCAGCTATCGGTCAGTATCGTTGTTGTTTTTTGTTGTTTTTTACCTTACAGTGAGAGGACATCACTCTGTTTTAGTCACTGTGAAGTGATTTTTGCTATGTTTTTTGTTTTGTTTTTTTGTGACTTTAAAGTGCTTTGCCTCTGTTGTTGTAAACATGATGTGAGCAATGATGGCCATTATCATTGTTTTTACATTGTGTGACAAGTTTTTCACTCTATTTCTGTGACTGTGAAGTGAACGGTGTTCTTAATGGTGTGGTGAGTGATGTTTTATTGTTCTGTCATGCTAGGATTTTTTTTTTTTGGGGGTGATACATGTGGGTGTCCGACTAGCCAGGAACCTATCCCATTGAAGCCTGTGCTATAATACTCCCAGTACAGTAAACTCAACTTTTGCGGAGGATTAAGTTCCTCAAAAACACTGTGAATGACAAATCCGTGAATGTTAAACTTAAGACCTTATGGGAAATATGGGGTTAGGAAATTCACACCCTTGGAGAGGTACCTATTATGAATAATATTGTACATGTTAAATACAGTAAATAAAATACCGTACATGTAAAAACATAACAATGTACTGTACTCACCCATGAAAATGCTGCTGGTGAGGTAACAATGATGATGGTGGTGATATTTGAAGGAATTGAGATGAATGTGGGGTCGTCCTCATCATCCAGGAAGGACCTTGAGCCCTCAGAAGCAGCAGATGGTGATGGAGAACTTATGATGGGTGGTGGGTCATCAGGATCAGAGGTGGAGATTGGATGAAGGGTAGTGGTGGGAGAATTGACTGGCGCAGTGATAGAGGTGAAGGGAGCAGTGACTGGCACAGTAGCGATGGTAGATGAAGCAGTGACTGATGCAGTGGTAATGGTGGAGGTAGAGGGAACAGTAACTGGTGTAGTGGTAAAGGTGGAGGGAGGGAGCAGTGACTGGTATAGTGGTGGAGGTGATTGAAGCAGTGACTGGCACAGTGGTAGTAGTGGAGGTGGAGAGAACAGTGGTAGTGGTAGAGGTGGAGGGAAGGAGCAGTAACTGGTGTAGTGGTGGAGGTGGAGGGAGCAGTGACTAGGGTAGTGGTAGAGGGAACAGTGACTGGTGCAGTGGTGGAGCTGAAGGGAGCATTGACTGTAGGAGTTCCTCCACCTCTTCTCTCGAACGTCATTGAAGCCCCCTCTTCCAACCTGATGCACCAACCTCACAATCCTCTGCACCTCCTCATCCATTGAGGGGAACCCTGTAAACTCATTCACTGCCTCACTCCACAGCTTTTTCCAGCAAGCATTCCAAGTCGAAATTTTAATTTATTCAACAGATTTTTTGATGGTTTTTATGCAGTCAGTGATGTCACTCTCCATCTGATCAAGGATTCTCTTAAACGTGTAGCAGGTGTAGAAGGATTTAAAAGTAGCAATAAGTCCCTAGTCCATCGACTGGAGGAGTGGGGTTATGTTGGGAGACTACCTCAACTGGTGGGTGAGCAAATTGAAGATTTCCAGGGTGGCCAGGTGCATTGTCCAATATCAGTAGGACCTTAAACCCCATATTCTTGGACTTCAGGTACTGTTCCACCTCGTGGACAAAACAGTTGCTGAACGAGTCATGAAAAACTGCTGGAGTCAACCACATCTTCTTGTTGGCTTGCCAAAAGATGGAGGTGATTCTTGTTTTTTACCCTAAAGGGCAGAGGGGTTCAAGAACCTGTAGAGTAGCATCGGCTTCACATTAAAGTCACCAGCTGCGTTGCAGCAGAGGTGAAAGGTAAGATGGTCCTTAGTTACCTTGAACCCCAGTGCAGAGGCTGCTGTTGGACGAAAGGTTTGGCATCCTCTTCCAAAAGAGACCCGTTTCATCAGCATTGAAGACCTGCTCCAGCCTTTAGCCCCTCTTTATTAGTACAGTACCTTTAATTGCTGCAGGAAGCAATGGTGGAACTGGTGGCTTCACCACTAGAACCTGCTTGGAGATGTTCGTATACCCACTTCGCCTTCTCTTATCACTGCGCCATTTTTTCCTTGTTAGTGTCACAGGTTTGAAAAGTTACTGTATCACTTTTTGGAGCACTTACAGAGGCACTTATATGAATATTTGCCTTATTTTTCCTGTTTTAGCACACAGTAGACTCATTACTGGTAACACCATAATGGCATCCCACAGCTGGCGCACTGTCACCATTAGCAAGACACTCAAACAACTTTCTTCTGCCTCTTTGCACTTGATCCTCCCACCCTTCTCACTGTAAGCTTAGGAGACATCACTAAGGACAGAAAAAAGTCACCAAAAAGAGCAATACGTAATAGTTAAGTTGCAGGTGTAACCGTGACAAAGGCTGGAGACTGAGAAAGTATGCTGTGATGTGCGGTGTCTCGCGTGGTATGGTCATTTACAGTAAACACAAACACAAGCGTCCCACACAGTACTGTCACGTACAGTAAACACACAAAAAAGCGTCCTGTGGAACTACAGGAAAACATGACCACAAACCGTGACTAACCAAACCTCATGCCTATTTAATGGTTGTACCCTTGAATTATAATCAAATCCATGAAAGTTAAACTCGCGAATGGTGAGGGTTTACTGTATATTGATTGCATAAATATTATTTCACACCTGTTTTGCCACCTATATGTAAGCATAAAAATTTTTCTGAAAGCTTTCTACATCTCCTGAATTAAAAATAACGAAAGTAAGGTTGTTACAAGGATACACAGTTCAGTGAGTGAAAGATAACATGATAGAAGGGAAAATCTGTGTTTGCTCTTGATTCCAGCCAACCTACATTCTACTGTACTGTAGTGGGAAATGGCATGAAAAAGTCAAGTAAGAATAATACTTTACTGCCATCCAGTCTCTTCCAGTGTTAATATAATTATGAAATTCATATGTAAATGCAACTTTAAAAATTGATATTGTAGTACCTGTACTGTTTTATGATTCTTTGTCATTATCTCTGGATAGTCACCATCACTAAATATATTGCACCATCAATGAAAGTTATGCTTAAGGTATTAGTTCAGTACAGATATATTTATGTCGCATTTCTTTAGTGACTGAGAAAAAAATATATTTCCAGTTAAATCATACTTTTTGTTTAGATCAAATTACAGATGTGTAGTGACTGTAGTCGTGACAATTTGAATGTCAGCAGAAATCTTTCCATGACTTTCAAACTATTAGGTACTATCTCCTGCTCTTTTTTTTTTTTAAATTGGTAAACACCCCAAACTATCCATGATATAATTGTATGATAATAAAATAATATAATTAAAGTAAATTCACAGTCACATGTCATACCTGAATATCCTTAAATGCACCAACCACAACTGTACCTATAATTTTTATTTTGGGTTTTGCAAGTGTAACCAAGACATCACACTTAGAAGTTTGGTTGTTTGTTTCCACAACCCAGCTGTGCTCTCATATTGTCTGTCATTAAGCACATCCCTGATTTTGGCCAATTACCTTCTTATTGAAAAGAGAGACATTCTCTGAGGAAAAAAGAGGCTAGTTTTATAAGGAGTTTGGATGAAATGGTGTGAGCTCAAGACATCATCTGCTAACCATGCAGGATGTCTTGAAAGACAAAAGTTGTAAACAAAATGCTTTCTTATAATCAGGTGCTCATTAAACTGTACTGTATAGTAGTCTACCAAAGCATCAAATCAAGTGGCATTATTTTTAATATAGAACTACAATAAAATAAAATAATGATTTGTATCAATATTTTTTGTCCATTCAAGTGACCCTTTACAATATGAAAGCACAAAATTGCCTAAATACAACCTCTTCCTATCCTCAAAAATAATCAGTTCCATGTGTTCATCCTAGCAAAGAAAAAATCAAACAGACTCCATAAGAGCCATCCTGTTTTTGTTTGTTTTTAACAAAAATTTTCAGTAAATACTGTAATTTATAGCAAAGAAAAAATCTGAATTCCATAAATTTAAAATTAGTTTGCTTTTTTGTTTTGTTTTCTCTTTTTCTGAAACAGTATGGCTTGCTGCACAAAATTCCAACCATGTTTTTGCCTGGACTGTGCTTCATCAGCCTTTTCTTGCATGTTCTTTGTTTCTAGTCTCAGACGACGGAGATCCTGCCAATACGTCAGAGGCTACCAGCCCACCTGATGACGACAAACAGCATGCAGCCAATCAGATACCTTCTCCCACCTGGAAATCCTCAGCTCAGAACTCCCCAACATTACACTCTTCTCCTTCTACACTCATGGCAACATCTGACACGTCTTCTGATAGTGGAATTTCTTCTTCTAAGATTTCTCCTACTTACACAACAACTAAAGATAGTAAAGTATATAGACATGTCTCTCCCAAAATTACTCTTAATGGGTCTAAGGATGAACGTAAAGTTAATTCTGCACTTAGCCATACAAAGGAACCATCATCTCCCTTTTCCCAGAGCTCTTCTCCAACTTGGAAAAATGCACAAACACCTAGATTCTTCTCATCAGCAAATCAAGCTCCATCAGGACCAAAAGAAAGTGAGGATCACGATTCAGATCGTGATAGTCCCCGGCTAATGAAAATCATTAGGCAAGAATCAAGTCCACAAAACAGCTCAAATGTTGCTGAAAGACGCTATGAAGGTGGACATATTCCTTCTCGTGTGTTTCGTCACTTACAGACAGAATACCCATCTGATTCTAATGAATTACAGGACCCCAAGTCATGCCTAAATTCTAAAAGTCCATCTCCTCGTTATGAAGGCGGTCCTATTCCTCCTAGAGTTGTGAAATCTTTACAAAATGAAAACAACAGTTTTGATTCTGATTCATCGAGCTCATATGCAGAGCTTGATGAATACTACTGCAATGGAATGGCAAAGACAGCTGTAAATAAGGAGACAGTCTTAAAAGAACTTACTTCCCAATTTGATCACACAGGAATAAGGAGGAAACCTAAAGCTGCCCCTGGAAAAGTATTCCGTTACTTACAAGCTCAATATGACTCTACTGATGAGGTAGACAAACAGCAGGAGCAGCAGCAGCCGAATGATACTCTGCAGCCAGAATCTGGTGATGATCATGGCTTTGGATACCGGGGATCGAAGGTGCCATCACCCTCATTCAGATTTTTACAGAGCCAGTACCACCAACAGCAAGAAGAGGAAGAAGCAAATCATCAGGAAACACCTACTCCAGATGCCCCTCAGTATGAGGAAGAACCTACACCTTACCGAGGTGCTCGTATCCCTGGGCGCACCTTCAGGTCCCTGCAAGAGAATGTTTCAGCTCATCCTTCTGTTATAAAGTCAAAAAAGTGAAACTGTTGTTCATGAAAATATAGAATAATATGATTACTTTTTATAAGATTTTTATATTTATTGCTTTAGCACACAATATACAGTGCTGTACTGTATATCCATCCACACTCTTTGACCTGAATTTTTTTTAGATTAATTGTACTGTACTATACCGTATCATGCATTGCATATTATTGTATGTGCTTTGAAGAATACATATGCTTTCAATGGTACGGTATACATAATACAGCATTTTCTGTGTTGCATCTACAGATTTGTTGTGGTGATAAGGAAAATATTTACTGTACTGGAATAAAAGCAACATAATGGATATACAATATAACAGACATACGAAAGTTCTTTCTCAGTATGATTAGTTCATCTTTTTGACCACAGTAAAATACAACGTAAGATATAAAACAATTTTTTGAACACACTAGAACTCCTGAAAGGTTATACAGTACCTGTATATAAATTAGCTGATAATTGGAAACAAAAGAATATGCTGTATATTGTAAAAACAAATTGACTGAAAATTTTAAGTTCATCCAAGTAACTCTATTTTTTGTGTATCCAAGTGTTCTCATAATTGTAATGTACTTTGTATATTTACTATGCACAAACATAAGTAGTAGTTGCTTATAAGTGCACTGATCGTGCTTACTGAACTTGATAACACCATAAAAATCTTAGCCATGCATATCCTTCTCTTTGTAGTTACATCTTGCTTATTTATTACAAAATACACTGTACCCAAACAGTTGCAACACAGCCTAAATGGCACCAGCCCTTCAATCATCCTTATATTCTTTTAACTTTGTTTATGCTTCCTAGTATAAACGAATGATAAAGTTTCATTTGTTTTACTAATGAATTATGCTTATTGAATTCTTTTCTGAATTTTGCACTTTCCTGTTTTACAAGGAGGGCTTGATATTCATACTTCAGTATTCTCAATCACAGAATAAGTGAATTGCTCTTTACAGGTACAGTATTTGCAGTGACTTCCATAGTCAACACAATAAAATTCAAAGCTAAATGATAGGTGTTCATCATCAATTAAATTATTTTCATATTGTTGAATATTATACGCAAACCTGTTTTTTTCCGCATTTTGTTTTTATTGAAGTGGATGAGGTGTGCCTTTTTCATTCCATGATTTACAATCAAAAGTAGAGAGCATTTTTTTTACCGTATGTATATGCTTTTCCCATGATCCTCTTTCATTGCTGTCCTTAAACATTGTACAGGTAGTTACAATACATGCACCAACCATGCACTCCCAACCTTCCACATACACAATCCTAAAATGCACACTCCAGATTGCTGTTGACCCTCAGCCCCAGTGTTGTCTACCATTTGGCTTGCTTGTGGTGTTGAAGATGTCTTGCTGGTAAGTATTTCAGTGATGTAAACATGGAATTTTTAGTGTATATTATAGAGTGCATGGTTTTAGTTGACTTTGTACATCACTGAGCAACAAGGGAATTTGAAGTTCCGGTGACCTGGATCTGTATTTTATGCATGATTAGTGGCCATTTTTTATATCAAAAGTGCTTAAATTCACAAGACTACAGGCCGGTTAACAGAATATATTATTTCTTTTTAATTTCTCATTGCAGTTGCGGGACCGGGCCAGAGTGACCTGTAATGAACTGTCAAGTAAAGAACATCCATAAGTAGCCTTAAGTTAAGGTTAACAGAATGAGTACTATACTATATCTGCCACATATTTTGTTCAGTTGCCTATTAAAATGTTTCCTGATACATAGTTACAATGACATCTTAGATAGTTCCCTTTAACCTCTATGGTTCTGTTCAGCTCTTCTTTCATAATGCAGTTACTACAGTATATATATCCCTTTACAGAAATCCTTTAATAATAGAGCAGGTTTACCTTTCTGCTGAGCAGAGTATATCTAATGAGACGTGTCTTACTAATGTTAGATTACCGTACTTAACATATGAGTTTGTAGGCTTCTGCAACTAAATGAACATTGATTGCTCCACACAATACAATGTGCATTAAAAGTTAATAATTAATCCACTGAATAGAAGCACTTGGCAGTATAAAGCCCTTCCCTACACTAGCATAGTCTTAGTACAACAGTGGCATGCTTTTGAAACAAAATTCAGTGGCCCATGCACCATAATTATTATTCACGTTTTTTTGTACTACTACAATACAGTTTATATACACAATTAAGCTTGGCTTAAGCACCATGCCAGAGCAGACTCTGCATTGTCCATTTATTATAATTCCATGAGCAATTATGCTACCCATACTCATTGAGATTAGCATCAACATAAGTTTTATAGATGCTGTCAACACTGTGGCTGTGACCACAATAATAATACTGTACCAGCACATAGTCTCTTAAGCTCAGTAGCACTATAGTTCCTGCTGACGTGATCTGATTTAAGATATAATTTTAAGGTGTCGCATAATTTTCATATCAAGTGTAAATCTTTCTTGCAGCTGAAAAGTTTACTGTAAAAAAAAAAACATGATAATTAGTATTAGGAAGTCAGTTTTTTTTTATCGTCCATTGACTAGTAATATATTATCTCTTAAGAAAGAATATACCTATTTACAAAAGTAAGTAAAATTAAAGAAATATGAAGACATAAGTAATACCTGTACTGTACATTACTTTTAAAGAAAATTTATGTAAGTATAATGTAATGGACTTATTTCATACTCTGAAAACTATATATGTAGCAATACTGTGTCCACCTCATTATTGGAATGTTTGTCAGCTTTTGCAGGGGATATCAATTAACAATATCATAGATTTAGAAAACAAGTCTGGTTTTTACATGTGCCTTTGTTTTATATCTGGAATGAAATAAAATATCAGTAACAATCTGTTACCTGTATTATTTTATACCAAACAACAAGATACTTTATGAAAAGTAAATCTATGGAAGTGATACTTATAATAATTGATTTTCATTCAATACGAACCAAGGACAGCTGACAAAGCCATGAGAGGTTTGTTTCCAGTAGTGTCCTTATGTCAGCAGCATCTGGTGTTCTTAGGGCCAGGTGATCACCCATCCATGTACTACCAGACCCAACACTGCTTAACTTTGCTGATCAGACAAGAAGCAGTGTTTCTAATGTGGTACTAACATTTGTTAGGTGCAACTACTGATCACCCATTGGTAATGGTTTGAGCCACTTATTTTGTTTGGTTCATGAAATATATGTGTTTAATTGAAGGTATGTGAAAAAATTTCACAGTTCAATACAGGAATGTCCTGCGTTACGGAATCTCTGGTTATGGATTTTCGCCCTTCCGTAATTTTGAAATTATGACTATAATTTCAGGTTATAGAAAGAAAAAAAACTCGCCTTCCAGAATTTTTTTTTTTTTTAATTTTAGAAAAAAAATCATGATTTTTCACCAAATTTTTACCAAAATTTTCCAAATTATTTTGGGTGGATTTTCTGTGGTAGCCACAAGGCCGGGGTGCCTTCAGGACCAATCCTAAGTCTACTGGAGGATGCTGATGAGCTACCCCTTGAACTTTAATGCCAGTATCTCCAGATTCATGTGTTGGTTTTGCCTCCATAGCCTTCTGCAGTCTGTAACAAACAATTGTGTAGCTGACGAGACTATGTCCCCCCCACACTAGACACAACATCCAAGCCTCCCACAACCTTTTGACTTCAGGGTAAGGGAGGTTGCGAGTTTTTTTTGTCTTCCTCCTGCTCAGATATGCCCCATGCGGTTCCTTAGTGCCGCTCCATGGATTCTTCCTGAAGTTCAAGTGTAGTTTGTTCTCTTTTCTAGAGCATGTCTCCTCTCACAGAGGGACTATCCCTGTTTACACCAATGGCTCTAAGTTGGATGCAGGGGTGGGTTTTGGGGTAGTCTTTCCTGACTTTTGTCGGGATGGTAGTCTCCCCGCTATGGCATCTATTTTTATGGCACAGCTTTCAGGTATTTTATTTACCCTCAAGATTATTTTAGCCCAACCTCATGGCGACTTTACAATTATTAGCAATTCTCACAGTGCTTTACAGGCCTTAGGTAGTATCTTTTCATCCTATCCCTTGGTTATAACTACAGTATCTTAGATTGGCTACTTCTCATTCAATGTCGGGGCCGAACGCCAGTTTTTGCTGGGTTCTAGCCCATGTGGGTAAGGAGGGGAAAGTGTGTGCTGATGCTCTGGCAAATGCAGTTGCTTCTTGTCATGTGGCACATCCTTCCCCTTCACCTGTCTCCGACATGAAGCCAGCAATAAAAGCTGCCATCCGCTCGAATTGGCAATGCAGGTGCGATGCTATCAAAACAAACAAGCTCCGTGACATTCACCCTGATTTGGGTGCCTGTGGATATCTGGGATCGTCACGCTGCTGGGAAACTGCTTTGGCCCACCTCCGCATTGGCCACCTGCATTTGATTCAGGGTTTTCAATGGAGAGGGCACTCCCTCCCCATCGTTATGACTGTTCGACACCTCCTGGTGTAGTGTCCCAGTCTTAGAAATATACTGTAAAGGGTGCAAGGATGAGATGGGTCTTACCATCGCTCTCTTTGATGCTGGGGGTAGAGTGAGTAGCATGGGAGAGGATGTCTTCTCCTTTGTGGAGGAAACTGGACTTGTACACAAGCTTCGAGTTTTATATATTAATGTTTAAATGGTTTTATGAAAGTTCTATGCTAGACACACGGGTGGCCTAGCTGTTTGGATCACTTATTTCACATTCTGCTGCCAGTTTAGGTTATTCCCTTGCTAACTGCTGATTTTGCATACAATTTGTGTTGTGTAGTACTGTACATTACTGTACCAGGACACAATCTGCCAAGAATACAGTGTTAAAGCGGTATCAAGACATAAAAAGTGATTACAGTTGCATATACTGTACAGTACATTCATTAAGTGTGAAAGTACCATATGTACATTTAAAAGGAAACCCTGGAGCACCTTGGCTTTCATCTTTATTCACCTCACCTCCACAACAAATCAGGCCTGTAACACAAGACCCACTAATCCCCCACCCCATCTCCCTTGCAAATGTTGACATAAAAAGTGATTACAGTTACTTATAAACAGTGAACTGAGTATGCCTACTGTAGGCTCAAGACAACAGCATTTACTGGTGAGTACAGTATATACAGTACAATAGTAAACATTATTTGCTTATTTACAATATATTGTACTTGTGCAGTGGTGTTTGCATAAATATACTATATACAGCTTCGTGCAAGATACATAGTTTAGACGGGGGGATCTTTCCCCAGTACAAGGGGGAATATTTGAGTCTTGACTGACACACAGCACCTTACACGCTCATATTACATAGATCTTTTTTTATATATATATATTTATTTGGACAAACTTTTAGATAAACTAAATTAGAACTGGTTTTAGAGACTCTGGTATACACATTCTTTACATTTTTCATAAAAGAATCAAGTCCCCATCATTATAATGTCAAATTGTTTTGTTTAAGGATCTTTTATTGAAACGGTGTTGTAGATAATTTATTCAGGATCATTATGGTACCAAATTCATCTCTCAACACAATTAGAATAGATGTTGTGAATAAAAGTGTATACACTTTTTCATGCGAGATGCATAGTTTAGACTCGCTTATTCTCTCAGAAAACTTTTCCAGCAGCCAGAAACATCCCAGCTTTGTGAGATAGTGTCCGTCTCCACGAGATGGGTAGTCTAAACTTGGAAAACATTTCCCACTACCCGGAAAAATTTTGGGGATGTGCAATTTTTACGGGAGGAAATGTTATCACATTACATGTACCTGGAAATCTCATTTCCGGAAGAGATCGGCACCAATTATTCCGGCCAACAGGGTTATTACTGTTTAACACCTTAAATATTATTTACACTTACTGCCATGAAAATTATCGACAGTAGTAAGTGTTAGTAATAAATTGTGGTAAAATTGTGTGAACAGATCCAGTGGTCATACTGGTGGGACAGTATGACAACAAACTTTGCTGCTTTACTTCCTGTTGTTTAAGGTATTTAATTTTTTTTTTATATACTGTACCTATAATGCCATGCTATTGTATTGCCAATCTGTAGAACTCAAGAATAATTGGTTAACAACTGTCTTAAAATGCTTTCAGTTTAATTACATTAATTATTAATGGTATTTAAATAAACTTACTTTTTTTTCTTAGACACAATTGTGACTTTTTTCCTTTAAATTTATTTCCAATCTCCCAAAATTTGTTCATGAAACCTGGATCCACCCCTGATGAGGGTCTTTGGGGTGATGATTTGGAGGGCCTCCAAGCTACTACCTATTACACCCAGAATCTGCTTCACACTATTATTACTTATGTTGGCTTGGCTTGACGAGACTTAATATAGAATATCATCTTTGCCTTCTCGTATGTGGCTCTCACCCCATGCATTTATTTTATGAATCTACTTCCTTTCTCTCTGCTATTCTGTAGTTCAATACTGTATATCACTTACTGTTCCATTTGGCAAAACTTCCACTCTCTAATATTTGAAATATTCTGGCTAATGCCAGACGGTTTTATTCAGCTGAGGAAGACCCCTTATACCCAAGGGATTAATAAACAATCTCAACTAACCCTTTCACTACAAAATACCACTTTTTGTATATCATCTGGCTAGCATCAAACAATTTTATTCAGCACAGAGACCCCCTGTACCCAAGGAATTTAATTCATCAGGTGTCATCTTTACTTCTTACAGTGGAAAAACTGTGGCTGGAGAGCTAATATCTCTTGTTCTGTTAGAACAATATACAGTACGTATAATGAGCAAATACATAATCCTTCCCTTTTATAGTATTGCGTGATGAATATTAACTACAATAACGTATAAAAATTCAGTCCGGGGAATTAAAACTATACAACTTTACCTGACCAATATTTATTCACCATAGTATTAGAGCAGTGAATATGTAAACCAAAATGCTGCCTTCGTCAGCAGACAGACAGGAGACATGCATAACTGTGAAGCGATCAGCAACCATGACCCTACTAATACCAGGCTTCAATAAAGCATAATTCCTTATTTTTTAATACACTGTATATGAAATTTGCTTTATTGAAGAATAATCCAATAGGCAAAATCACTACTGACCATTATTTTATGGTTATGTTATGAGGGATAGTGATGGTTACATAAGTTGTTACTGACTGTGTATCATCTGTCTCTTTCCAGACAGTAATTATGAAATAAAACATGATGAAATCCATTTATCCATTCCTTTACAACTAATTTATAACTCACATTGTATACCAGTTGATAAATTGAGGACCTCAGGCCTAATAGTGCCAATCCCTGCTCACTTTTAAGATGGAGTGACTTTCATTCTTAAAACTCACACCTTAAAATTGCTGCCATGACTGTCCGACCGATGAGTACTGGCAAGAAAATAATATTATCTACCATATATCAGCAATAGCATTACAACTAAATATGTTACATTAAAGCATTAACCAAATGTTCAATTTTTGGTAATATCTACAAACCAATTTTTACATTCTACATAAATGTACAAAGTTTAAGTGGTTTTGTGTATATCTTTGGTCATATGAAAATATAGAGAAATAAGACTTAGGCACCCTCCATTATACTTAATAATAAAGCTTCTCATTTGACTTGATTTTTAACCCTAAATACCTAGGGCAAATAGCAACAAAATAAGTAACAAAGCTATCAAAATGTACAGAAACAATGCACTTATTAATTACTCAAAGCATACATAAATCAATATTTTCATTACACAATAATTACATCTTTTTGACTTGGTATCTATACATCACAAGGAGAAACACAGACTTACTACCTACTCTGGAACGCGACCTACAGGTATATGAAACGTAACAAGGTAGACTTGGCCAGCTTTGACCGCAACCAAACCAAGTTATCTACATGGGAACTTCTACAACACAGGGACTCTAAGCTCACATCTACATGATAAAAGGGCTAGTACTAGTAAAAGATGAACAGCTGGCATTGTTGTGGCAAACAGCGACAGATGGAATCATTACAAAAAATCATCTCAGGAAGATTGGCTTGTTACTCAGATTGGATGATCACAGCATAGGAAGAAGTCAATGTACTTATCTGAATATTGAGCTTTATTACAAACTTTATTTTTTCTTACTACCTGTAAGATTCTAAAGTCTTTCAAACCCTCAGTCACATGCAGTGAAAATATTTGTCCATGGCTGCGACAGCGTAGTCATTCCATCCTCGAGGCAGATTCAAACTAAGTAACCATGAGGAACTAAAATTATTATGGGCTGTCTATTGTATTCCTTGAGATACAATGAGAAGAAATCCTAACTAAAAGTAAAATAAACAATGAAATAAGGACAATATAGCTAAAATAAGTACAGTACTGTACAAGGAATACTTAAGACAATCCATGGAACATGCAGGATAGGATAAGGAAGACACTTAGGTAGAGGGACAGTTAGTAAGTTCCTAATAGTATAACAAAGTATACTCGGCCTTACTTTGAGCGTCACCCCAGAGGGACTGGCTAATTTAAAACAAATAGTAAGATTGAAAATGAATAAGAAAGAGTCCCAGCACCACAGCAGATAAGAAGTTAGGAACTGACTAAACACGGAGTGGAATGTCACTTACGTGATTTGAATATAAATTTAGAAGTAAATGTTTCTAATACAATAAAGCATTATTTTCTTGAAAAATTCAAGCATAAACATCAAATCAATCTGATACAGGTATTGACTAAATTTGCATCAGACATGAAATTCAATAATTTCTGAAATAGTGACAGTATTATATTTACATTTGAATTTAAAAAAAAATCTTTCTTGCAAGAATTTTTGTTTGTATGCATAAAAAAGGTATGATTAATAAATACAACTAAGAAACAATTCCCAGAAAAAATCTCTGTGCATAAACATTATATATAAAAATTATGGAAATAAGAGAAAACAAGTGCATGAGGGTGCAGGAATAGCCAGTCTCTCAACAGAACCCTTCAGAGCCAACAGCCGCTGACGCTGCTACGTAACCAGGACACTGAGGGCAGCAGTGCTAAGGAGCTGCCGTCCACTCTAGCAACTATCATCAATGTGAAAGTATTCACAACTGTACTTATACCTGTTTAATAAACTGATAATGTGTGTGAGATATTTGTAGTTACACATTAACCAGGCACTATTTAGAAAGAGGGCAAACATTAATTATTATAAAATAAATCTAAAAATGATGATACTGCCAGAGTGCATGGTATCTGGTGCTTGTGACTAATTAAAGTACAGTACTGTATATATTTCACTTTACCGTAGTGCTGCATTATCTGAAGAATCATTCATTTTGATGTCAATACATTACCAGTACTTTAATATGTATTTTCTTAATTAATGTAGTATGGGAACTGTAAATTTCACAATTAAACTTGTAAAAGATAATTAAAAGAAGTTTCCTGTACAGTACTACATATATCTATAAAGGGAGGTAAAGTGCCTTACCTGTACAAAGGTGAAGTGGTTTTCATTTGTTAGTGATTACATGACTACTCAAAATTAGTAACAGCTATCAAACTCTACAAAGGAAAGACATTTGAAAAAAAATAAAATTAAATCAAGTTTAAGACTTCAGTCACCTGTTGAAAAAGTATCTTATGCATGTTTCAAACTGTGTCTTTCACTCTGAGCAACAAGCTATCAGATCCCTGTGTTCCAGTGGTACTGTACTGTCTGCCAACCTTCAACTAGAAGAGGAAGTTATAACTTGCTCCCATATTGGCTTTTGAGAGGGTCAAGATAGCTGATATGAGCTAGGGAGAGATATAACAGTTGGCAAGACATGTATGAAAAGAAGTTATTTTCACTGGTTTATTTATGGGATATCAACCATCAATCGATGAAGAAGAATTCTTAAAAGTAACAAAATTTTGTCAGTGAGAAAATGACAGGAAGGATTATGTGCATAAGGTGGATAATACTACTCAAAATCATGTACAAGTTCCTTGAAAGTGTTTGTTGCAGGTTTTGTGAGTAGCATATAAAAGATCTTATAAGCTATAGGTACTGGCATTGCTCTCAAATGTCCTTTTGGCATTTGCTACTTCCTCGAAAAATATTATAGCTCTGAGTTCAGTGACTGACCTTTTATATTGGAATGGATAATGGGTTATGAATTACAGCGTTGCATATTCTATCAGACATGTTTTGTCCAAAATAATACGTTTTCTTAACAATCACTGGGGATAATTCTCAAAGGATATTTTTAAAATCACTTTACACTAAAGCTATTCATTAATAAGTTTCGAGTACCACAGCACCCAGAATAGTGATGAGAGCTGGTCTGTTTTCTCCTGTTACTAATGAGGTGCAGTTGCCTCTTATCTTTTACTCCAAACCAGATACTCTCATTGTTCATGGATGATGACTGAGGCCCTTGGTACAAGTCCCTTCCGGTCATTGTGGCAGCATAGGAGGTAGCGGTCATCAACTTCTACCACAACTGTCAGTATATCTCCTCGGTTGAAGCTCAGGTGACCATTATCAGTGGCTAGGCGGTGATGGAGCGTCTGTACCAACCTGAAGAGAGTAAATGTCATTAGTAAATACATCAACTTTTAATGTTTATCACATTCAAACTCTTAGTGTCCAATGTCTATTACGAACTGACTTTGGAAAAAATAACTACTTTGTGTGTGCTTAATATCAAATATCTCTATCAATCATAAAAACAGATTACATAAAAAATATACTGTTCATACAAACTGTGTTAGAATGTTTATGCAGAGAATGTATGAAGTTGTTGCCTTTGCATAACTTAAAAAGAGTTATCACAGTCTATGTACTAACTACATATGTATTTATTAAAGAAAGAGTTAGGTAAACTTTTTGCCAAAATAAGATAATGGCAAGAACTACAAGAGTATCTCCTTCAAAAGTTACTTAAAGGGGATTTATTTTCAGGACAAAATGCATGTGATGTGATATCAAAGCACAAACAAGGACTACCTCAGACTATGGCACAATAAAGTCTGCCTCACAAATAACTGGTGTTTGGTTTTTATTAATCAGAGAGGTTGAGAAAAGCAAAATCAATCATCTTTTGCAAACATGAAAACTACAAAGCATGCAGATGCTCATCACATACACTGCTTATCTTTGTTGCTCAGATAAAAGTTTAATCTTCCATTTGATGGTTTCTGCTCTACAAAAGAATAGATCCTGTTTGAAAAGTGTTTCATTCACAGTGAACCAATTGAAGTGAGCTAATGAAAGAAACTAGATGATCCCCATCACCAAGAGTTAACATGCCAGGTGTGTTGGGCTACAGTAGAGACAGAAGTGAAAGACACCAACATTTGGTGCTAAAGATCAATTTAGTTTCCAGCTACTATTGAACTTAGTGCCGAATCATACGAGTTAAGTGCAATACATTACCTTAGTACCCAAGAATGGCTTTCCTGATATTATGTAAGGAACGGTGATATGGTGCTTTCTTCTTTGTGCTTTGAGACAGTGCTGTATTAGTTGCATTATTGTGTTTAAATATCATGGAATTTCCTTTGATAAAGGAAAGTTTGATTGTGGACATCATATGACATTCATTTTTACTTATAAGAACTTAAAAGATGAATACAAAAGGCTTCTTTTAAAATTATTAGTCATCTAAATTTTCACCATCTCAAGATTAATGTATGACAATAAACAAAGATCCAAGTTCAAAATTCCACAACCATACCTTTCTTGTTTGATCTTCCTACTACCTACTTGGGCGTATCTCCAGGTGCCACACGTCTCCCATGGCTAGCCGACCGTGGTTGTCCACCATACCTACGCTGCCCATCGTACCTGCCACTAGTATTGTTGCCCTTGTCTCCAGTATTAGGTACTCTGCCAGGCACGGAGGAGGCACGAACGATGTTACTGTTGACCGAGTTAGGACGTGGTACCAATCGAGACCGAACCGAAGGAGGTCGTGCTGTTGTACTGGTATGGTCTTCACTTGGAGAGATCTGAGTTGTTGCTTTATCTTTCAAAGATCGTCTAGGAGCTGGCTTAGGCAATTCTTTTGGAGAAGCAGGGAAATGCTTTGGGACTTGTTTGAGCTGAGGGGAAGTTTTTTCTTTAGATGGTTCAAATGGTTTGAAAGGACGCTGCGGAGAGGTCATGCTGACAGGCCGAGGTATTCTAGACCTGTTGGCACTACTTGGGCTTACAGCTTTATCAGGTTGAGGTTGTTGTGCCTTAGCATTCTTCTTCTCAGGCCCTGCCATTTGTTCCCATTTTAACTGAAGTCGGCGGAATCTAATGCCCTCAGACTCATCATCTTTTTCTGTATCTGCACATGCTCGGGAGCCCTTCTCATTCTCAGTATCTTTTTCAGATGCCGACCTTTCACTTACATCTCCATCCCTACTAGAGACATCACTAACACGAAGATCAGTCTGCAAATCATCATCAGTGCACTCACTTGCTCGAGAATAAACTGGCCGGTTGTTCTTAGGGTTGTCAAGAGAGTCTGTGTAATCTTCACTGGATGTTATTCCCCCAACTTCTTCCAACATCAACTTATCAATGGCTGTAAGAAGTCTGGAGCCAAGTTGGACACCACTCCAACGTTTTCTAAGAGTTGGATTCATCTCCTCATTGGCAACATGCTCATAACAAGATCTAGGTCTGGGACTTCGGCTTCGTTCTCGAGATGGGTCTGATGTGGAGAGCAACAGTTCATTTTCATCCAGTTCTGGAGAGGTGAGCACCCGCATCAAAGCTTTGACCCTATCCTGCTGAGCTGCATTCTTGAACTCTTTAGTTTCTTTGGAGTGTAAGTGATCTAAAACTGAGGGGGGCCGGTCACCAGGGCTCTCTTTTGAACTTGTATGCAAGAGGAGCCGTTCCTCCATCTTCTGAAGGCTTGCATGGAGGGCTTTATATTCATGGAGGAGATCAAGATTGAATGGAAGGAGAGCAAGTGGTCTTAGAGAGAGGAGAAGGTCATCATAGAGACTTTTTGTGGCAGTATTGGAAAGGTATAAGAATGCTTCAGGATGATAGTGCTTCTGGATTACACTTTCCCTTGTACGAAGGTAACTCAACCAAGAGTCCAAAGATCGGATGCTGAAAAAAAAAAAAATGTATATTTCACATGCTCCGTTCTCTGTGAGAAAATTAAGTTACACAGCAGTCTCCAAAAGCTGGTAAAAATCATCTAATGACCAAGATCACCTGAACACTTCACTCATGAAGTACATTAACTTCAGGTAACTAGAATCAAATATTCATTGCATAGTTATAAGTAATCAAAAATAGAGAGTTGCTTTAGACTCAATCAAAGGAATTAGAATCCTAACTTATAAGACTTTATTTAATTCCAAATTAGCCTAATATACACGAAGAGCCAGTACACCCAAGTTCTCTAAGACTGGAAGACAAATGATGAACTATAGCCTGAGTGTCACCCCACACACCCTGTTGTACATCATAATTCCATAAAACAAGAAGGTAAAATATTGATTACTTAATTAAACCAATATTCCCATATAAGGCAGGACTATTCCAAAGATCATGGCTACCTCAATTTGTTCTTGATATGGCTTGGATGTACAGCTACAAGGACAAACATGCACAGTACACAGATAAAAAGAGAGATGGACAGCATATCTAATGACCTTTCCTGCTATGTGGAAGGGGACAATGGAGTTGCTATGGCTTGGTGGATAACCCACAAACTGCTTGGTAGTGAGCATTAAGCTATTTCTTTAACTTAGCTTACAGGCATCAATTTGCTGTTTCAAACGTACTGATGAAAGGTCAATAGATATGTATATAATTTAACAACAAATTATATCACTTACTTTAAAAGCCCAAAGATGAAAGCATTGAATTTGATGGGCCCTTCTGAGAGACACTCTTCACTATTTAGTGTGAGCACCAAGTCATTTAGAGCCTTTGTGGAGGGACCTATTTAAGAGGTATCATATATTAATCGATGTCACTAAAAGAAACAATTTATTCATTATAATTATCAATACTGTATGTACTGTGCTATTTCATTTTTTCTTGAAGAAAGAAATAATTTCAAAGCAAATTGAAAACTTTATAAATGTATGCACAATAAAAAAGATGAAAAGGAAAATACACCTACTTATTTGACTGGTGACTTCAATGACCCGCCACACAGAGTTGTTAATCTTGCCAAAGAGTGAATGAAGTGATGGATGAAGACCATCACTCAGAAGAGCATACACAGCAGGACACAGCTTTTCTAGAGCCAGTTGTGCCACAGCAGGTGTTATGCCACTTGTACCTGAATACCACAGTTGTAAATAAATTTTCTAATCATGTGACAAACTTTTTTTTTATTAATATTACAAACCAATATTTTGTATTTCTTTGTAATACTGTACAGCAGTTATAATACTCATTTGTAAATAAAGCAATTATTGACTTTCCTTATGATAGTTTCAGAGACTTTAATTGCATCTTCAAAGACATGCAGTACTGATTAATAATACAATAATTAAAAAAAGAAAATCTTGTTTATTGTGTATGTACAGTACATAAGTTTGCTAAGCCTTTTTCTCATTTTTTTCTAATTCTAACACTAAGATAATTCTTATGAAATTAATTTATTTTCTTATTTGCCTTAACAGTGAGAGAAGTTGTCTGGCTTTAAAAAAATAACTTCTCTTCTTACTTGCCATTACTAATAACTTTTCTCACACAAGTATATATCCAATAACCCTTAAATGGTGGCCAACATAAATTGATGTTAGCTGTAGGGATGGTGGCTGGCATCAATGGATGTTTCATATTCCTTGTGGTCCAGTTTTTGCATATATGGGGGTGGATTAGAAATACTTACTTGCCATTTAAGAGTTAAATCACAAACATTCACTGTAGTTTCTCACAAAGGAAGACAAGGATTTTATCCCAACTGGACTGTCTAATTATGCAAGTAGATACTGAGAGATTAGTGACTCTGCCTTGTCAATTAAAAGGAAGCTTAGAAGTCCTAAATATAATGCCCAGTTCCCACTCTGTAAAATGTAGGTTGGGGATAGCAAGGGCATCCAGCTGTAAAACTCAATTCAAATTTGGTTAATGAGAACCAGAACACTATTTCATCAGGTAATCATGACTGATCCATGCAAGTATGGAAAATAGCCATAAAACAGATGGTATTCCCAAATGTTGAATCAATATTAAGACTTTTTTTAGCTTTATGGTAACAAACTATTCAGGGAAAGATCATTATCAAGACTGAAAACCATTAGTCGAGTCGAGTCAAATTAGCACGAAAACCAGCAAATAGCGGAAAAAATTTAAAAAGTTTTAATTTTTGCACACATACTCCTGAAGGCTATGCAAAAAAAAAAGATCAAAAGAGTTCCCCTCCGTCTGACTGCAGCAACCCCTCTTTTGGGGGGCCCAAACCCCCCTTTTGGGGGGCCTTTTTACTACATTTTCCCCATTGTTTGGAAAACGGTTGCATTTTTGCCCAAGGAGTTATAGTTTTTGCATGAATATGACCGTAAGTGGAAGGCGAGTTTGGGCGTAGATCAAGATATTTCTGTCTCATGCTCAGTTTCCCATCAATAACTCTCAAACGACTTATTTCTCATTAAAACTGCACATAAATGATATTGTAGAATGGGAAGTACTCTATTTGGGTAGATGAGAGACAAGGTTTTATGAAGTTATAAATGTTTTCTATAATTCACTTTTTTTTGCAGATGTGAATGAAACTCCAGTTATTCAGTATGGCATCAACAAACAATTGTTTTTGTTGCAAGAAGAGTTTTAATGAGGGTGAAACTGTGAAGGTGAAGGATGGCATGCACAACTTGAGATGCAGTTCTCACTGCCCATCCATCGGTACAGAAGGCCTCGTTTCAGTGTTGAGTGGTCTGATTGCACCTGAAAACATAAACTGCAAGCGAAAGGTATTAGTGAGAAGATAATGGATGAATCTCTGAGAAATAAAGAAACATTTGGCAAATTAAAAGCACAGCGCAGCAAAAGAGTGATGCCAATTTCTTTTACCAATACCAGTGTTAAAGTTGCAGATGACATCATACAGGTTGATACTACTCACTCATTTCAGTGATTAACTTGTACTGTAAAGTTTCCTGAAGACTTAAAGACATGTTTCAGTCATGAGTTAGCTTCTGTTCCTTTATCCATATTTGATGAGAAAGGATTAATGAGAAAGACGAAGAAGTTTTCTTTGTACAACATGTCAAAGAACGAGTAATTCATCAATCAGGAGCAAAGTATGTCATTGATGGAGGTAACTTGATCCATCGTGTTGTTTGGCCAAAGCAAGGTACATTTGTAGATGTTTATGCTACGTATGTCCAGTTGATTAAAAAACACAACAGTGAAGATGTCACAGTAATTTTTTATGGTTATTCCACAAATGAAGTCGGTACAAAGCACATCATGCGTCAACAACGGCTTTTGAAACTCATTTCACCTGAAATAATATTTGATGAGAATATCCCTCTTAGTGTGCCTCAGGAGAAGTTTTTGAGTAAACTAAAAAATAAGGAGCATCTACTCATGCAACTGGAGCAGAGATTTCAGAATGAAGGTATTGACACAGGTTGCCGCAGATGATGCCGATGTACTAATTGTTCAGAGTGCAATCAGGGAAACAAATCAGCATGAGTCTGTTGTTGTAGTTGGACAGGATGTGGATTTTTTGAGACTGCATGTTGCACTAACTCAAGAAGACAAAGATATTTTATTTTTGAAAGAAGCCCAAGGAAACCTCCAAAGAAAGGTTTATAGTTCACAAGATAAACAGTGCTCCAGCATTTTAAAAAAACATCAGAGACTCAATTTTGTTTGCTCATGCTTTCAGCGGCTGTGATACAATGTCTTCGTTTTATGGACATGGAAAAATGAAAACTGTCAAATCTTCTCAACAAGGATGTTCGTTTGCAAGATATTGTGTCGGTATTCAACAATCCTCAGTCAACTCATGACGAAGTAGTAGTTGTTGGAGAACGGTTCATTCTTGCTCTATATAAAGCTCCAAGCAGTGAAACAAATCTCAATCATTGTAGATTTGTATCATTTAACAGATCTGTTAGTCACTCAAATCATGCTGTATTCTTATTAGGTCTTCCATCCACTTCTGCAGCAGCTCGGCAACACAGTTATTGTGTTTATCACCAAGTTCAAACGTGGCGAGGAGAAACACTACAGCCGGAGTTGTGGGGATGGAAAAAATCAAGATTCTCTGTCACCTATCTATACAACTGAGGCACCAGCGCCAGTAAAGGTCTTGAAAGTTATTTCATGTGGTTGCAAATTAGGATGTGGGAAGCGGTGTGGTTGAGCAAAAGCTGGCTTATGATGTTCTGCAATGTGCACTAACATCCATAGAGAATCCCACAGATGACCTCATTTTATCAGAGGATGAGGAAATTACTGCCCTTTAATGAAAACATCTTTAGCAAGAAATGATTGGATTAGGCCTACCGGGGACACCACTCAAAAAAAAAAAAAAAAAACGCACCAAAGACTCTACCTCATGGGTGGTGTGGAAACGAGAGTCTGTTATTTTAGGACGAATCGGAAAACATTCAAAACATCATAAAAATTGTATCTCATCTACCCAAATAGAGTATTTCCTACTCTACAATTTTCATTTATGTGCATATTTAATGAGAAATTAATTGTTTGAGAGTTATTGATGGGAAACTGAGCACGAGACAGAAATACACGCTCGCCGTCCACTTCTGGTCTTGTTTATGCAAAAACTATAATTCCTTGGGCAAAAATGCATATAGACAATCTAGTGCAGATTTTATTTCCAATACTTTTTCTATATAAACTTTTTTTCGTCCGATGCACCGTTTTCCAAACAGGCCCCCCTGGGTTTCAGCCCCTAAAAAGGGGGTTGCTGCAGTCGGACGAAGGGGAACTTTTTTTTATCTATATTTGCATAGCCTTCAGGAGAATGTGTGCAAAATTTAATCTATTTATAAGTTTTTTCTGCTAAAAATCCTTATTTGACTAGTCTATTAAGAATGAACTGCATTCCACATGTTGCAAGGAATACTGACAGCATTAGGTATTATGTGCATTGAAAGTGACAAGCTTCACAGTTTATCATTTGATGATATAAATGACTTTGCTGTCCAAAAATCACGAAAGAAACTCTTATTTTTCTGGTATCATTTGGGAAAGGTAAAATGGGCTTGGGTGATGAGGAGGCAATCAACATTTTGGGAAAGAAGAGCAGAAGAGTACATAAGGGAATGACCTCATGAAGGTCTAAATTCCACAGGTCAGGCAAGAGCCATATTTAGATAGGATGGAGTTCCTTACCTAATCGAACTTTTTCCTGTTGGGAGGCAACAGAGAAGTGAGTTACAAGCTTTTCCACGGCAGCACGAACAGAAAGCACAAGTGTTTTTTTGTCATGTGCATCATAGACCAAAGGTCTGGAGTCCTCTTCTGCAGCTATCTCTCCGCCACTTGTGACACCGGTGGAGGCATCAGGATTTTGGCCCTATTTGATAAATAATTAAGATGTGCTTGTACACTTACTTTTGGTAGTAAGTTGCATAACATATCCATTGGTATATTTCAGTTAGGCCTTAATTCAAAGTTTTATATATATATATATATATATATATATATATATATATATATATATATATATATATATATATATATATATATATATATATATATATATATATATATATATATATATATATATATATATAAAACTCACCTTCTTAAGTAGTGACACGTCTGGGGAGTTGGGAGGAGTAGAGAGACGGTCAGGAGTGTTACGCAGGTGGACACACACTTTTTCTGCAAAGCTCACACTCTTCTTTGGACAGAGGTCACAGATATTATTGGCATCAGTCAAAAGTGGACACACATGCCCTCTAGTAACAAGAAGATTGCTGACTTGTGACCGGATCCGAAGAAGGTCATCTTCTGTTAAGTCTTCGTGGCTGGATACATCTGGCAATTCACTGACTCGCAACAAGTTTTTCTTTTGAAGGCCTTTACCACAGAAGCCTGTACACTGGTTAACACAGCTACAACCCATTGGAGAAGGTGGAGTAATTGTAATATCTTTCTCTGTTTCTTGCTGTGGACAAGGTTGAGTTATCTCTGGAATTGTTTCTCTTACTACTCGCTGAGCCATGTGTTCCATGGGCTCCTGTAAAGATCGTCTCTTCAGCAAGTCTTCCCTCATGTTACCTCTTCCAGCATCTATAGCACTGTATCTTTTGTTATGACTATTTGCTGCCTTTGAAACATCATCTTTTAATGAAGAGGATTTCCTTAGAATTCCTCTAGGTAAAGGTGGCCGAGGCGGTGGCATGTCTGGGTCATCAGGACCATGCCTCTCCTCAACAGGAAGGGATATAGACCTCTTTGGCAATGGTGGTGGTTTTTCGAGTCCCTCTGAGTCTGTACTTGCAGTATCATATTTATAAACATATCTCTGATCTAAGAGTCCCCCATTCTCTCCTTCTGAGTCATTGAGCATTGTTGAAGAGCCTCGAAAACCAGATGAAGGCTGCGTTGAATTTAAACTACTAGCACTAACCGAGCCTTTGAGTTCATGAGAACACTTCTGTTGGGAATAATCACAACTGACTGGTCGACGAGATGGCTTTGGCGACTGACAAAATGAAGGCTTTGTAGTTTCCATGCACTCAGTTTCATCAAGGAGCATCTCTTTCAGTTCTTTTGGTAACAAAAAGTTAAGGGAATCCCAGTCACGGATATGACCAAATCCATGTTTTCGTAACTTTTCCATATCACCACATGAGAAGGGACGTCTTATCCGAGACTCTTTAACCTTTCTCATCTCTTCAGGTCGGGAATTATAATGTTGTGGAACAAGAAACACTCTAGCATCAACATTGTACTTCTTGTCTTTCAGGAAGCCCAGGTCTGGCAAAGCATAGTTTGGGTAGTAAACATATACCTCCTTTTTGTCCAGGTTAAAGCTTGTGTTAACCATTGCTGACACCTTCAGATTAGAGGTCTGAAGGCACTGATCTGACATCTGTTTTAAAACACGGGGCTTTGGTCGAGGTTTTTGTTGTGGTGTGCTTGTTTGTTCAGAGTCTGAAGGTCTTCTGATTTTTTCTGTAGATCCTCTGTTAGAAAGATATCCACTGGAGGAATTACCTGAATCCTGGCGCCTACGAGTTGTGTTATTTGAACCATCCCGTCTGTTATTACCTTTCTTTGGAGTCCCTGGTGACTGAGATCTCTTGCGTTCATCAACACAAATATTAAAGGCATTCTTATTCATATTTTTATTCCCCAAGTCCTTTGACACAGTTTTAACTGGCGTCATGTTATTTTTTTCCATATTAAGCTTGTTATCTCGTAGCCTCAAGACATCATGCATTTTGGTTTCCTTTTCAGACTGGTCCAGAAGAACCTTACTCTCACCTCGACTATCCATGGATATATCCATTCCCTCTGGCTCCTCTCTTATAGGACTGGTAACTGGTGGCTTTGAACATGGATTTGTTTCTTTGAGACTGTCTTCAAAACTTGTAACATTGTCCATAGTGTTAGAAAGCTGAATACCATTGTTATCAAGCACAGCAGGAGCAGTAATAATGTTATTATTATTGTTAAGAAGTCCATCTTGCTGAGTATTGGCAGTGGTAGTAGTGGTTTCTGTGGTGGTGGTATCAGTAGAAGTGAAGTCCTGGTTCATAGTCATATTATTGGTCCTTGGGGTAATTTCTGGAGCCCCTAATGAACCAGTTCTTCGTCGATAGCCACGCTCATGGTAAATCACACCATTCTGCCTCATGAGTGCAGGAGGTGGAACAGGTGAAGCACTTCCATCCATGTCATTCTCAGATTGGCTGTTCATAGGCCAATCAGAAGAATCATGTACATTAGATTGGTTGTCAGAGCTGGAACAGCAAGCACCTTCCTGGGATATGCTTGATGACAAACTAACAGCTTCTTTGCTCAAACTTTTTTGTCGCATAAACAACTTTACCAATGAAAAGTTGTTGGTCTCATTTGCTATTGTTCTGCTACTCTGACTGGATCGCATACTGTTCTGAAGATCAAACACTTTGACACATCCTGCAGAAGCTTCTAGTGATCGGCGCATGAGTGAACGACGCATCAGGTTAGGCATACTGTTGCTCTTGTTACTTTGTTGCCCTTGTTCGGATGTCTTTGAACTTTCTGCTTGTCCTGATTGCTGCTGGGCATTGTTGACTTTGGAAGGCACCTCTGGTGTGCGAGATGATCGACGGCTAACCCGTGACCAAGTTGTGTAGGGCTGATCTGAATGTGTCATGGAAGGTGCAGGACACCGACCCTCCAGTCTCTCTGTTGACCAATGGTTGCTCCCACTTGACTCACTCTCACCTGTATGAACAATTAAATATGATAATGAGTGTACAATAACCAACTCAGCAGTTTAATCCTTATATTAACTTGTATTAACATTCTTATGAGGAAACATTACATTTTGATAATTTTTGGATAATGTAAAGAATAAATTAAGAGATGAAAAGAACTTTGCCTGGCAGATATAAACTTATGGTAATCTTAATAAATACACAAACAAAGCTCCTTTAACTTGGAAACAATGCAAACTTCTGACCAAATGTCATGTAAGGTCAACACAAATAAAAAATCAGAAAAGTTAAGAGGAGCCAGCATTACCAAATATTTGGGGGTCCTTTTTTCCCTTTGTATGTTTATATTTCATTTTTCAAAACTAATCAGTACAGTGACCCCTCGTTTAACGAACACCTCGGTTAACGTAATTTCGATTAACGAACTGCCTTCTATAAGGATCTTCAATTCGGTTAACGAAGTTCTTACGAACCGACCTCAACATGTGTTCGCTTGCACTGACCGGGCAACCAGCTTTAGTATCAGTCCGCCAATACATTAATCGGTTCTAGGGCTTAAATTCCTTACTATTTTAGTAAATATCAAGAAGTTTATACTATTCAATAATTTTAAAAGTTATCCATTCAATTTCTTAGTCATTTTTAACAATTATTGATCATAGTGAGTAAAGTGACTAGTTTGGCCATGCGACATCCAGCCTGCTAACACAGCAAACAGGAGTTAGTCTCTCTCTGTTTTCAGGGGAGAGTAACATCTTGAGACTCTCTTCAACTAAGCGCTTTTTTTTTCTGTGTTTCCAAGCAAATTATTGGTCATTTTGAAATATATTTTACATATTGACAATATATAATGCAGTGCAGTGTTGATTTATAGAAAATAATCTTGAATTACACCAAGAGAGCTAAAATTTTATGGGTGAAATGGCGCCATGGGGTGACTCTCTTCCACCACAATGCCTTCTCTTCTTCCTTCTCCTCCACCCCCATTCTAAATCCCATCATCATCATCATCATCCAGGAGCCTTCTACATACACACCTCAAAGTAAGTGAACTTTTCTACCATTTTTGTTGAATTTTGGAAATTTTCGGTGAGCTGGAACCAATTACCCAAAAACCCATTGAAACAATCGTTTCGGTTAACGAACTTTTCGGTTAACGAACGACCTTCTGGAACGGATTGAGTTCATTAACGGAGGGGTCACTGTACACACTATTTTTATCAGTTCTACCTTGATGTTGGTAGAAACATAAGATTTTATTTTCCAAAATTCTCCAGACACTAAAAAATACAGTAATGTACTGTACCTTCTTTTACTATCAAGTACCATCAGAGATATTAGATAATGAAAGCCCTGATGGATGGAATGTTTGAAATACTGTACTGTATCATCAATTCTGGAGAACAATTGGCTTGGGCTAGTTACCATGAATATAGAGTATCGTACTGAACTGTCCTTGCACAGTCCCCTTCACTAGTGTGTTTACAGGGGCTCGTCAAAAGTCCACCTTCAGAACACTTCTGGGGGCCATGCTCATCTCCATGGCACATTTCAGCAGTCCATCATTTGACAGAAAGAAGCTCGCAATAGTAAACATACTATGGAATCAAACTTAAACAATATTAAAACAAATATCTCAAAGATAATGATTTATGGAATGTTTATATGACAAGCCCTTGTAAATGCACTAGTGAGGGGGACTGTACATACTGTATTCAACCTGATCATTATATCATGTTAAACATTAATGTACATATGAATGAATAAGCAAGCAAATGGCTCAATGCAAGGATATACAGTATAGAAGTGCATGAAATTCTCAGTGAAAGTGGGATGGAGAATCTGGGGGAATTAATATAGATAAAGCAGTGTTAAACATCCTAAGTTTTGAAATAACAATGCAAAAATTTTTGCTCATAATGATATACTGCACTTGCCTGCCTCATGATAATCCGAGTCTTCAGAGTACTGAATAAAGGATCCCTCAAAGGCGATGGTGTAGTTATCCTTATTAGCTTGACAAGTGAGAATGAGATCATCATGCAGGGAGTCACAGTCAAGAGAGTCTACACTGAAGGTGGTGTTGGCCAGAGGTGGAGGTTCCTTCAATGGGGAGAAGAGTGGCCCTGACTGGTACAATGACAATTCCCCACTAACACCACTGTATTCTTCTTCTTCAATCTCTCCCTCCTCTTCCCTTCTGTCATCTTCATCTTCATCTTCATCTTCATCTTCGTCTTCCTCTTCATCCTCCTCCTCATCTCCTTCCTGGTCACAATGGGATGAGGAACGTGGACTAACAGATGAATCGAGGTCATACTTGTTCATCATGGAGCCGGAAACACTAGCAAACATCTCCCCATCTTCAGCACTCTGTAAAACATAGAACTCTTTATATAACTCTGGATAGATGAAAGATCTAAATATCATTCAGTGTGCTGTGCCTATAAAAATATATGGCCAAGGTAACCCTAGAAAATGGATCAAGGTCACTAATACTTTGTGGAAATTTTGGGAAGCCTTTAAATAATCCTTATTGAAATTATACGGTAATATTATTTAATGTCAACTGACCCTGCAACTTTCAGTGACTTTCAAAAATATGTCAAAGTTATGATAATTCTAGCCCATGATGAGTTACATATAATAAAAAAAATTGGGCAACTTTACTTGGTATTATCGGGGTCTGTTTTTCAGGGTCATTTCATAGTCTGCCTATGACTACATTATCAGCTACAGCACAATCACTACACTATCATCAATATTACATCCACTATACTATCACCTAAACCATATCCACAATGCTATCACCTACACTACATCCACTACACTAACATCCACACTACATCCTCTCCACTATCTACACTACATCAAAATACACTATTTACACTACATCAACCACCCTATCACTTTTAAGTGGGGCTAATATCCCCAAATTTAGATGTGTTTTAATGGGGAGGGGGGGTTATTCCACCTTCAGGGGTGGGACTGACCAATAGGGCCCAATTCCACAAAAGTCCACCTTCAGAACACTTCTGGGAACCATCGTCATCTCCATGCCACATTTCAGCTGTTTTTATATATATATATATATATATATATATATATATATATATATATATATATATATTTCACAGCCCAATGTAGAAGTCCGTGATGTTTATTGGGCTAACGAAATATATATGGATCCTCGTGTTTCCAAGGCGGATTTGGTAAAACGTTGCTCTGATCACCTAAGCGGCACGGGTGGTCCCCATTAGAGGTTCACGGCACCATAAGCTCGTTGAACAGCCTTTGTCTGAAATATAACAGAGTTTACGACTGCTTTTAGTGTCCTGGTGGTCCAGCTGTTAGCTGCCTCCCGTCACAGTCAAGTAGGCTTGTGGGTTCAATCTCATGGCTGAGGTGTTGATTATGTAGAAGTCCGCTTTATTGGGTTAATGAAATATATATATATATATATATATATATATATATATATATATATATATATATATATATATATATATATATATATATATATATATATATATATATATATATATATATATATATATATATAAATATATATATATATATATATATATATATATATATAAATATATATATATATATATATATATATATATATATATATATATATATATATATATATATATATATATATATATATATATATATATATATATATATATATATATATATATATATATATATATACTGTAGATGATGGTAACAGTCAATGTGAACAAAGATGGACAAACTTTCACCAACCTGGAACTCCCCACACATGGTGGGTAGTGTTAGGATGTTGTGTATGTCTTCACTGTGGAAATCATCCATGTCGATCTCTGCAAGGTTGGCATCCAGATTTCTGGCCAAGGTCTCATATGACAGGTCTTGTAACTGGCCCTGGCTTGGCTCCAGCACAGACACCCGACCCGATCCGTCCCGGCCAGAGGAGAGAGAGAGAGATGCCGTACCAACCTCTCGGCTGTAACTTTCCCGGTACCTAGCGCACGGCAGGCTGGGTTAATGAAGGCATGGGCACAAGCATGGTATACGCATGTCAAGGATATGGATAAGGATTAAAGGAAGTGTTATTCAAGGGTGAGCAAGTAGTATAGATTCAGGTGACAGTGGCCAAGAAAGGTGAAGGGTTGATTTTGTAGCAAAATCAATAAGCCAGGAAATTATTTATGCAAGTGTAATACAGCAAGTACATGACAAAAGGGGAATTGCAAACATTGTAGAGAAGTAGCAAGATAGTACAGTAATTATATTAAAGAAACAACCCAGGGGATACAGGCAGATGGAATGGAGGTAAGGCAGAATATAAGGGTGTAAGTTTTGTTTTTTGAAAGCAAATCAAGGATAAATCGAGCATGATATATGGAGCATTGGTTAGTATCCACAGATGATGGTCATATTAGCCAGGTGCAAAGCACGAACACAAAGGGAAAGAAAATAGAGACAATCATTAATATAATATATACAGTAAAAATATTACATTAGTCTGCTAATCTGTCATAACCATTCATAATTCAGAGAGAAAACTTTTCCACCTGTGTCAAATTACCACTCTAGTCCAAAACAGCTAGATATAGGTAATGAATACAGGTACTGTATCCTAATTCTATAGAATGAAAATACTGTCGTGTATTCATCTACAGCCTGCTCCATCACTGAACAGTACTGTATGATGATAAACCACATAATACATTAACTTTTAAGATAACACAATTTGTTCAATCGCTGTTTGTGTGAGGTTACCAGTCTAAAGTGCTCTACTTGAATATAAAATGCACTGTAATTAAGAATGTTCACGGTACTGTACAGTATTCATAACTGGAATTATTGACACCACAATATAATGCACACTGTTAATTATACCTGTTACACATTTTCCATTAATCTTGAAGTACAGTTTGTTTGGCTATCAGCACACTGGCTAAAGGGTTCATTCATTTTCAGTACAACAAAGTAAAGTACTTTAGGATTTATCCTTAAACTGGGAAATAACTGATACGGTAGAGAAAAAATTCCAAGTACTGTATTGTATCTTAGTTTTCTCTTTCAGTTTGTGAATTGTGTGAAGATGCTTCTTTACAGTAAATCAGAACATACTCCCATTGTTGTGAGGCTAAAATTATGATCCAAAATTTTACAATACAGTTTTGCAAAATATTACATTATATAGGGTATTTGGACTTTTTCTTCAAAGTACTATAGTAAAATGAAATGAGAGATACAAGTACAGTACAGCATTTTTAAATGCTGATACTGTTTACTGTGGTGTGACATGTTGTGTAAGGTCAAACAAGATAGTAATCACGCACTATATACAGTACAGTAATCAGTAATGGTCTAAATGAGGCTTTTGATCATTTTGTGTTAACTGTTCTCAATGGGATCACACCTTCACTGCCTGCTGCCGACGTGATCGTCCCAGATGTCGCTTCTAATCACTTAACCGTAACTCCGACGCCTGAGCCCAGAAAATCAAAGACCACCTTAATAGGGGTGGTGTGGGCTATGTAGTTGATCCCAGGTGTTGTAACTGAGGCAGCCGGCACAATGCTGACTCACGGCAATGCCCCAATCACCCATCTGTCCCAGGGGAAAAGCCTCCCCGAAGGCCGCGTCTACCACAAGCGCCACCCCCCCCCCCAGTCTACCGGGCCTGCTTGCCCTTACACAGCCCTTAATTCCTAGTTAAATTGATTTCATATAAATTGCAAGAACAACATTTGACCTGTAACTATTAACAACTAATATAAATTACCAAGGATCTTCTTTACTGACATGTCGAGCACGGACATGTTGCGAGGACTGTTGGATGGTAATTTTTAGTTTTTTTAATGCTAAACCTATGCTCCAATATCTTTCCCAACTTTTTATCCAATCTTTAGAAATTACCAAGAACAATATGGGAGACTTTGGAATTCCTGTAGTGGCAGACATTATATTCTTGTCCAAATATCAGTTGATATTCAATAAATTAAAAGCCTAAAGTGTTAGTTAACATATACAGTATTCTACTGTCAGGCTTCTTTCCTCAAGACCTGGATGCAAGATCATTAAATATGCTATTCAGTTCTAGTTGAACTGCAATAGTGACGAGGAAAAAATCTTCATAAACAATGGTAATGTTTGAGCTACTCTTGGCAGGACAAATATGCTTCAATTATTCTCTCAACTAGTACTAAAACACTAGGCTAGCATGGTTGTATGTGTATGTCATTTCCACATCAGGTGAAAATACAGTACAGGTACCAGTAAACTGTGAATTTCCTAGAGAACATTATAACTATTTTTTTCTAGGTTCTGTACAGAGATGCACATGCTAGCCATTCATTGTAATCATAATTTTAAAAGATAGTTTTCATTTTTTCTATAACACACACTACTTCTCCAACCTAATTCAACTAAATACTGGACTGTGTTCCTACTGCTACAACACACACAATAGTAAAGCGCTCATAACTACTGAATGCATACCAAGATCAAAGATCCAATATCATGGCTTTCAAACATGTGAAAGGTTGTGATGAAAAAATCTAGAATTTTGTTGATACTCAAACACACAACACTAAAAGAGTGATGAGTAAGGTAGACTTAGAGGTGAATGAGAGACAACACGAGGAGAGAGCACTTAAGAGGAGTGAAATAAACAGACAAGTCTTTCAGTGGAATGCTCTCAGAAAACTTTACTGTGATAAAAAAATGAGGTAGGATTTAAGAAAGGAATGAGGGAGTGAACTGAGAACAGATGATAAAGGAAGAAGAGTTTCTCTGCTTTTGACACAGATGGTGTGCAACCTCACCATATGGACCAACTCTTGAACGTACCCCTGTAGTGGACATCTCCCCTACAACTGCCTACAACTGCGTAGCCACAGCCACCACCTGCTACCGCATTTGACGTGCCGTCTCCTAGCAACCAAGCGAGAGCTGACGCCAGATGGTACGGTTGCTTAGCAACGAAACTAGTCACCGGCAACTTTCTGGGTTTTCCCAACATGATTCATAGAGGACTGGCGGCTGCTGCTGGGTATATAAGCTCTGTCTCTCCATTGAGATTCATTCTGACCATTCTTCTTGAACAAGCAACACCTCCTCCTCCGCCGCTGCCTGGCTGCCTTCGCTTCTCCTCGCCTGCCTGGCGGTCCTCGCTCCCGCCAGCGAGCATGGCGACCCACCAGCTGTCCTTCTCTGAGCTTCCTCACCAACCAACTCTCATTCTGCCCATCTTCCTGAACAAGCAACACCTCCTCCAGCAAGCTCCACGCTGGCCCCTCACCACACGGCACCTCCAGCGCCAGACTGTCTATCATATAACTTATATTATACAAGAAAACCACATTAGAGTTTCCTTCTATCCTGAGTGCTAGACAACATTAATATCTCGATACCCCTACAAATGGTGACTCCCGGAGATTAGCACTCACACAGGATGGAGGAGACACTGATCATGCTCCCAGTCTTCAAGCAGACACCGGCTCCTCTTCCTGCCCCAAGCACCACATCCTATGACAGCAGCACACCCGTCCTGCCTCAGACGCTGACCCAGGCCCACACACCCCAGCAGGCGCATCTGACGACTCAGTACCTGCCGTGAGGGAAGCACACAACATCCATCGCCTCCACACCCCCTCTTTTCTCCCTCAGGTACTCCCTGCTAATGTCCTGCACCCTGCTGCTGTCGTGGACCCAGCTGCTGTCACGAGCCCTAATCCGCTTCTGCTGACGCAGCCCCTGCTCCTGACCCAGGCCCACACACACCCCAGCAGGCGCATCTGACGACCCTGTACCTGTCGTGAGGGAAGCACAACATTCATCGCCTCCACACACCCTTTTTCTCCCTTCTCCCACAGATATTGTGTATCTAGACAGTTGTATTTCAGCGATCGGCTCATCACGCCATCGCCGTTGTCTCACATGAGGCATGCACTGCCCGGTCTGCCTCACATGTGCTAAGCAACTCTACAGACAACAAGTCTCCTACACCGCCTGGAGGGAAGGGGGAGTATTGTAGTGGACGTCTCCCCTACAACTGCGTAGCCACAACCACCACCTGCTACCGCATTCCGACGTGCCGTCTCCTAGCAACCAAGCGAGAGCTGACGCCAGATGGTACGGTTGCTTAGCAACGAAACTAGTCACCGGCAACTTTCTGGGTTTTCCCAACATGATTCATAGAGGACTGGCGGCTGCTGCTGGGTATATAAGCTCTGTCTCTCCATTGAGATTCATTCTGACCATTCTTCTTGAACAAGCAACACCTCCTCCTCCTCCGCCGCTGCTGCCTGACTGCCTTCGCTTCTCCTCGCCTGCCTGGCGGTCCTCGCTCCTGCCAGCGAGCATGGCGACCCACCAGCTGTCCTTCTCTGAGCTTCCTCACCAACCAACTCTCATTCTGCCCATCTTCCTGAACAAGCAACACCTCCTCCAGCAAGCTCCACGCTGGCCCCTCACCACACGGCACCTCCAGCACCAGACTGTCTATCATATAACTTATATTATACAAGAAAACCACGTTAGAGTTTCCTTCCATCCTGAGTGCTAGACAACATTAATATCTCGATACCCCTACACCCCCACCCCCCTCCTCCTGTGAGAAATAATGTTGACAGGTGTTAATGCATGAGAGATGCCAAGTGGAAGGCGACATCATTACCCTTCTCACCACCAACACCATGTAATGTATGCAATGTATACAATGTAGAGCACAGTACTGTACTATTAAAAAGAAAACATTAAGTGTTATTTACACACACACACACACACACACACACACACACACACACACACAGGGCATCATTTACAAGAAAACGTGTATAGCAGTAACATGAAACCTCACCTGGCAACCATATTCACTTAAAAACACTACGTACTCTTTCATGATTTATCCATTTATTTATTATTTTTATTCATCCTTTTATTTAGTGTATGCACGTCTAACCTAACACAGTAACAGTTTATTCCATAATCTATTTACCTATTTATCTTCATGTATGTCCATAAATATTATACAGTATGCAATCGTGATTTCATTTCCTAATTAATTTCATAGTATAATGATTATTAAATAATTGTTGTAATGGCTGAGGGACTGTACACCTGAAATACCATATTCAAGTGGCGAGATAGATCCTTGGCAATAAAAAGACGGACAGAGATGCAGAGACAGCCATAAGAAGAGACACTCACTCATAGTCGAGCAGCCACTGGTAGTCGGCGGTGTCATGCTCGAACTCGAGGTCGGTGGCTTGACTGATCAAACTCGCCGAGAGGTTGTCGCGGCCAATGACGTCATCGTTGGGAGCGTGGTTATTGGAGGGGAGGTAACCTGGTGCAGTTCCTGATTGGCCCTCGTTCATCACGTGATCTGCAGCGGACCCGCCCACTCCAACTCGCCCGACTACTTTCAGGGCATGTATTCCTGAAAATCAATGATACAACATTAGTGTTTGACAGACATGTACATAAATACAGTATACATACCAATATAAAACTGTATATATAAAAAAAACGCTTTAGGGTGTTCAACTATACAAACATGAAACTGAGGAAGGAAATTAACCGTTAGCCAATAACCGAACAGTTTGAGAAATGTCACAGATGTGTTCTAGCGATAGTGCCATCCATGATACCTGACATCTTAATTAATTTTGACTCCCCTCCCCACAACATCTTGCATGGCAGGTGCGCATTTGGTCTATTCATGACAATAACTATATATATAACTATATATATATATATATATATATATATATATATATATATATATATATATATATATATATATATATATATAATATATATAAATATATATATATAAAATATATATAAATAAATAAATATATAATATATATATATATATATATATATATATAAATATATATATATATATATATATATATATATATATATATATATATATATATATATATATATATATATATATATATATATATATATATATATATAAATATATATATATATATATATATATATATATATATATATATATATATATATATATATATATACACATACACAGTGTGCTGTGAACTCTCTCATGCAAGCAAGGCAGACTTGAAAAAACATTCTCACATTCCTCTCAGTGAAGATTAATGACCGAGTAAGTTTTCCCATTATCTGAGCATCGTGATTAAAGCGGCGTGATGGACACCACTTCCAGGCTACCAGGTGCATCATGATAGTATATCTCCACACAACACATCTTTGTCTTGACAGTAAATCCCCCACACAACACATCTTTGTCTTGACAGTAAATCCCCCACACAACACATCTTTGTCTTGACAGTAAATCCCCCACACAACACATCTTTGTCTTGACAGTAAATCCCCCACACAACACATCTTTGCCTTGACAGTAAATCCCCCACACAACACATCTTTGCCTTGACAGTAAATCCCCCACACAACACATCTGTCTTGATAGTAAAGCCCCTCAAAACAGCCATTTGTTTTGACAATTAATCCCCTACACTCCCTCTCATCATCCCATCATCTTGGAGATAAATCCCCGCACAGTAATGTGTGTTTAGAGTTAAGACGGCAATGTCATTTACGGTAAACACATCAGCCAACAACCATATGACCTTGAAAACTAGGTCAAGGACTCTCATCTTGTCTCATCCTGCACGAGATCTGGGGACTTGCAGAAACTACCTGTAAACGGATGGGTGGACGGGCAGGCGGACGGACAAACTGACAGACGGTGGCCTGGGTGATGATGACATTACCCGTTCTGGGCTGTGAGGGTAAAAATGACCCCAGGGTGAAAAGTTTATAAGGTACAATGAAGGGTAATTGCCTGCGATCGAGATCCGGCACTGCGTTATTGACTTTCAGAGGCATAATAAAAAAAATAAAAAAACGGCACGCGCACGCACACACACACACACACACACACACACACACACACACACACACACACACACATCACACAAGGGGTCTAGGAGGACGACAATCATGTCTGCGTCATGACTCACCAGCCACCACCGAGCGGCAGGTGAGGTTAAGTGAGCCCCGGGGTCGACGCCAAGTAAAATTAATTAATACAGAGTCCGATAAATACACGCAATAATACTCCTCCTTGCCGTTAACCAGCAACTGTGATGCTTGATCTGACATTGAAAGGTTCAAGTCCTATATGATCGTGTTGATGTTTTGTTTATTCAATATATGAGGATTCTGATGGCGATATCATAATTATAAAACTCATGACCACTACCACCACCAAAAAGGAGAGTCATTAATAACCTAATTGGGGGTTGATGTCACCCCAGCAGTCACCTAGCGGGCCCCGTGCCTCCCTCACTGACACGGAACACCTGTGCAGGTCGCTGCTCCCAATGCAACACCTGCGACTTTCCCTCTGTTTTTATACATATCGTCTCCACAACATCCCGTCCGCCTTTCTTCATGGCACCTACTACCCCTACACACCCCCCTGCTGTCGAGTATAGCTACCACACCAACTACTTTATGATACAATAGTAACAGGGAGAGTTACCACGGACACATAAATGCTGATGGTGAATGTGTGAACTGTGTGTCATGTTGTGAGGAACGTCCTCTGTCTCTCTCCACCCCCACTTACACCTCTCTCTCTCTCTCTCTCACTAACTAACTACAACTTTACCTATCCACCTCCACCCCTCCCTTACAATCAACCCGACCACAATCACCACCTCCACTACTAACATCATATAGTATTGCACCGCTTGGCCATCACCACCAGTGCCCTCCCCTGGTGGTGGCGGGCAGCAGTAGGGGCCACTTATCACAGGTAATGTATAACTAACACACACACATATATATATATATATATATATATATATATATATATATATATATATATATATATATTTCATGTAGATCTACAATGAAAACGTGGATAAGATAAATCTTGATAAAATCACACGGGAAAAGGTGCTTCGCTGTTTCCCTTTTCCCGTGTGATTTTATCAAGATAAATATATATATATATATATATATATATATATATATATAATGTGCACTACTGAACTGGGCACCAAGTGCAATAGTGTACTGGCTGCCTGGAGACTGTGTCAGGGGCTGCACGTCTGGAGCGGTGTCTCGGGAGGGGCGTGTCTGGGGACTGCATATCTGGCCGGGTCTGTCAGGGGAGGTTACAAGACTGGGGTTGGATGTCTGTGCTCCGTTTCTGGGGGGGACTGTGTCAAGAAACTGTATTTCAGAACCCTGTTGTCTTAGTGTTGCGTGACAAGCAACTATCTGTCTTGGATTTGTCTGTCTAGAAGGTGTTTGTCTTTCATTTATCAGTTTGAACCCTGTCTTGGAACTGTCTGTGTAGGTGCAGTTTGTCTGGCGCCTGGGTGTCTAAATACTTATCGTTCGATGCACCACACACTACGTGGTGGGTGAGCTGAGTTACAGCTCGCCAGTCATCAACAAGAGTGGCATGATCTAGTAGGATTTGCGAACCTCCTAGAAGTTTGTGTATTGGGGTTCGTGAATAGGACGTTCTATAATGAAAATAAATCTCATTGGTGATAAACACTTTAAGTGCACCACGGTGTAAATCCCAATTATCCCTTCTCTTCTGAACACACCCAAGCAATTTACAGATGGAGCCACGGTTGTCTAAACACGTCCTTTCCTTACACCCCAATGACCCTCGCTCTGGGCTTCATGTGACGTCAATACTGTAAACAAAGCTATGTCATTGTTGGGCCAACCAGAGCTGCAAACGAGGGACAACATACGAAAGTCAACACATGATCTCGACCAACCAAAACAACACATGAAGAACCTTTACGACAGGCGGACACACCAGCCCAAGGATTGGGTGGGGGGGGGGAAGGGAGGGGGTCGCTGGGACATTTACGACAGCGGACACAAGCGTCATTAACTACAGGTTAAGGCGGCCGTCACAGCGACGCTCACCTCCTGCTGGTGTAAGTAAACAGGCAAGCATAACACCCACACTTCTTAAAAGCATTTTGGGTTTACGTAAACAACAAACGCCAATATCCCGGGGTTAAATATACCACAAATACTCTGAATATTTGCAAATAAATATGTTGCAACTCATCAGTGGTCAGGTGCTAGAGCACAGCTCCCACCCTCCCTTCCTCCACCCTTGAGTCTCCACAGGACGGTAAACAGTAATGATGGTGGTGGTGTGTGTCGGGCGCGTACCAGTGAGGGGGGGTCGTGACCCGAGGACATCGTTTTGTCCCTTTTCACCTCTGATCTTGTGTCATCTGCTGCTTCTAGTCTTCATTACAAATACCTGTCTGTGTCCATGTTTCCATTTACTAATCTTCGTTATCTATTTCACGGTAGGTAAATAAGCTGTCAGTCTAGCCTGCTTTTTTTTTCGTGTGTCTTGTCATGTACTTTATCTCAAGCTTCCCTACACAGCTACCAACAGTTTCAGTTTTACGATTCTGTTTCATCCTCTTCTCGATCTGGCCTAGGAAAGGGGACCAAACATACGCCTGTGATCCTTTATAAGTTTCTTTTCCCCCTTTCAGCTCTGCGTGAAGCCTCGTTTTTTGTGTTACGTCGCAGGCAGTCTGCTTCCCCATTACCCGAGACGAGATGATGAATGTGCCAGCAGCAGCGGGGAGCCCCCTCACCTCACTCTCCCTCCCTGCCTCCACACTCCTCCAAAAGTCCTCCTAGATACTCTTCCTCATAGTCTCCAGCCCTCCAAGACACTTTCTCTCCCAGTATCCACCCTCTCCGAGACTTCCTCACTCCATCATTCTCCCTGCCCCTACCTGTCTCCGGAACGCTCTCCCTTTCGGCGCCTCTCCCATGACCACAACTCTCCCCCCCAACTCTTCCTTCCCCAGCGTCACTGTTGCGTTACACAGGCAGGTGTTGCTCCAGGTGGGCCTCTGTGTTACACCTGCCTCACTCACCACAACACCTTTCTGCACCACAACACCACCTCCCACCACCACACCACACCTCACACCACACCACACCCGCTAGTGTGTCATCACTACATCTTATATAACATTCGATTCTGTCACTTGATCTGTGTATAGTTTCCCTCCCTCCTCTCCCATCCTTCTTCTCTTCCCATCTCCCTTTCTTATCTCCCATCCTCCTCCTATTCTCTCCCATTCCCCTTCCCTCCTCCCTAGCTCTATCACCCGATCCCGTTTCCTCCCTTCTCTTCCCCACTACCTCAAGAGTCAACACGTGTGCCAGCGCTGTCAACATTCCGCCCTACAAGACCATCAACACCGGAAATGCTCACTGTACACAAACTCATGCCAGACCCAGTACCGGAACACGTGCTAGTAACTCACACATACGAAAACATTGAACTTAATTTACACTTAAATTTTCTTTTATTTTCACACTTAAACCTCCTGTACTTTATATACTTACATATATACTTAAACT